TAGCCCTGGAGAGTTTGCTTGCCCAGTTGACAGGCGCATCTCTTTCAAGTGCACTCAACAACCTGCGATGATCGATAGTCTGTCGTGGTGTCATGACGGACGAACAAGCCAACCATCCATTAGTTTAGAAGCGATGACTTCAGCGGACACTGTCGTGGAAAGTTTTTGCGCACAATCTCACAATGAAGTGCCAGACACCGGACAGAATCAGATCCATTTCAATGGTGCTGCTTGAGTTTAAAAAAAGAAACAATTACATGATGTACATGCATAAAAAATGATGAAGCACTATTACTGTACTATCAGGTACATGTCAATGGTAATTTCAATGAATAGTAATGGTACTTTAGCTGGCATCCGTGGACGAAATCACCTGGTGTTCCTGTTCCAGGCCGCTAATGGCTAGTGGTAAGTTTTGTGGTAAGTTTTGTGGAATGTTTACGGATGTTCATTGATCTTCATCCATGATCATTATTGATCTTCATTGATGTTCGTTGATCTTCATTGATGGTTTTTGATGTTCATTGATATTCATCGATCTTCATTGATGTTCCTTGATGTTAATTGTTCTTCATTGATCTTCATTGATTAACATTGATGTTCATGGATCTTCATTGATGTTCATTGATGTTCATTGATCTTTATTGGTCTTCAAAGATTATCACTGATGTTAAATGATTTTGTTGATGGAAATTGATGAACATTGATGTTCATTGATGAACATTGATCTTCGTTGATGTGCATTGATCTTCATTCATGTTCATTGATCTTCATTGATGAACATTGATGTCCATTGATCGTCATTGATATTCATTGATTTTCATTGATATTTGTTGATTATTATTGATGTTCATTGATGTGCATTGATCTTAATTGATGTTCATTGATAATCATTGACGTTCATTGATCTTCATTCATGTTAATTGATGTTCATTGATCTTCATTGATTATCATTGATGTGCATTGATCTTCACTTATCTTCATTGATGATTATTGTTGCTAATTGTTGTTAATTGATCTTAATTGGTGTTAATTGATCTTCGTTGATCTATATTTGTGAACATTGATGATCATTGATCTTCATTGATCTTCATTGATGTTCATTGATCTTTATTGATGATCATTGATGTTCATTGATCTTAATTGATGTTCATTGATCTTTATTGTTTATCATTGCTGTGCATTGATCATTGATCTTTATTGATATTCATTGATGTTCATTGATGTTAATTGATGTTCATTGATGTTAATTGATGTTCATTGATCTTAGTTGATCTTCACTGATGTTCTATGATATTCATTGATTTTCATTGATGTTCATTGATGTTAATTTGTGATCATTGATCTTCATTGATCTTCATTGATGTTTATTGATGTTCATTGATCTTCATTGATGTTAATTGATGTTCATTGATCTTCATTCATGATCATTGATGTTCATTGATATTCATTGATGTTCGTTGATCTTCATTGATGATTTTTTTGATGTTCATTGATCTTCATTGATCTTCCTTGATGTTCATTGATGTTATTTTTCTTCATTGATCTTCATTGATTAACATTGATGTTCATGGACCTTCATTGATCTTCATTGATCTTCATTGATGTTCATTGATTTTTTTGATAATCATTGATGTTCATTGATCGTCATTAATATTCATTGATGTTCATTGATATTTGTTCATGATTATTGTTCTTCATTGATGTTTATTAATATTCATTGATGATTATTGATGATTATTGATGTTCATTGATCTTCATTGATATTCATTGATGTTAGTTGATGTTCATTGATCTTAGTTGATCTTCACTGATGTTCTATGATATTCATTGATCTTCATTGATGTTCATTGATGATTATTGATGTTCATGGTTCTTCATTGATCTTCATTGATGTTTATTGATGTTCATTGATCTTCATTGATGTTCATTGATCTTCATTGATGATTTTTGATGTTCATTGATCTTCATTGATTTTTATTGATGTTAATTGATGTTCATTGATCTTCATTGATGATCATTGATGTTTATTGATCTTCATTTCATTGATGTTCATTGACGATCATTGGTGCTCATTGATTTTCATTGATGATCATTGATGTTCATTGATTTTCATTGATGATGAGTGATGTTGTTTGATGACTATTGAAGAGGTTGTTTATTGATGTTCATTAACGATTACTGCCCCGCTTCAAAATGAGACATTTGTGGTTGGGGAGACGACCTCAGTGACCAGGAGTCACCAGGACCACTCTCGGAATTATCGGCCAAGATCTTCGGGTTTGCAAAAAAAAACTGGAGGACCCCTATTCATTCTCTTAGTTTATCCAGTATAGAACAAATCAGGTTTATTTAACAATAAATATTATAAACCCAGTTAAGAAACATGTCCCTATAAAACAAAAATGGCAGTATACCATGAGCCATTCCGAGCACCATCGAGGAGCCGTGCTGTAGAATGGGTCCATAATTTTGATGAAACCAAGTTTTGGATGAAAAGAATCTTAATATGGATCAGTAGCACCAATCATTGAGCCGTTGCCAATCCTTCATATAAAATATATTAAAATATAGTATATATAACAATGATAATTATTACTATTGATTTAAGAAAAAACTACTGTACGTCATATCCAACCAGACAAAGCATGTAAAAAAAAAAACGGAGCCTCCAGAACAGGTAAAAATATCCAGGGTTGAGCCTCAAACATCCCATCTGCAATTTCGGAGCCCCACGTTCTGAACCCGCTACTGGTATGTTTCACAGTAAGGTTGTGATTTCTTGCATCCTGATCCATAAGACAACCAAAGAAATATTGCGTGCCACCTTTCCATTTTTTTCGTTGGTCAGGTCTTGTTTTTTATGTTTGTTTTTGTTGCTCTTAAACTTATGTAGATAAACATTGGCTCTAGTCATTACTTGCGTAGTCTTGCTTGTTACAGTCATATCCTCATAAATTGTGCTGGCTAGAAATATTTTTTTTTGCAGCTGTAGAAGTCCTGTTTGTCGAAATAGCATGTTTGATCTCTCAGTACCCCATGCTATTTTAATATCCCAAGCTCGTGGGGAAAAAAACAACTGGCAGATGACGGTCCTGGAGTTGCTTTCGAAGAAAAATTGACAGGACATCCCTTATATCTCTGTGTAAAAACCAGCATTTTAACTCGTTTCAATCGTATTGTTTCCCTTTTGAACCAATTCATGGAATGGGTGATGTGAGGACTGGCCATCATGCGGCCAGTCTGACGTGATTCTGCCGTTTTGGTTAGCGCGAGAATCGACGCCAGACAGTGACAGAGCCATGAGAAAAGTGTGGTCGGGCACCGTTTTGTTCCTCGAAGCTCATCCTGTTTGGAAGAATTGTGGGTCCAGTAGCCAGTTTTCAGGCGTTTGTTTTTGTTAAGCATTCCTTGATTTGTGGCGAAAAACAAAACCCGGCTTCAAAATGGTTCAAGTCCTTGGGATGTCGAAAAAAAAACATGGTGATTTCATTAAAGGATACCATGGGATAGATATATCCCCAATACAATCTTTGGGTTTGCCAGAAAATGGTGGATATCCCGATTCACGTCTGATTTATGATATTTATGTCTGGGGAAGATGATCAGCTGCTATTCAGAAGGTTGGATCCAGCAAGCAGATGTTTACCAACTTGGCTAAGTATGGAGCACCACCAGAGGTACCCCTTTCTTGAAAAATACCAATATCAATGGCCATTTCAGGTCCCTAAATTGGAGGTACCTACCATGTGAGCTGCGCTATAAACTCTTTATGTATTGGTGAGTAAGGGGACGGTCATAAGGTGGCTTCGCGTAAGCCAAAACTGCAGTGGCGTAAGAGCTGCGCAAGGTTTTTGGCTTTGAATGTTGTGCGTAAGCCTGCGTAAGGCATGCTTGAAAAGCACCTTTTGGCTAAAGAATGAAAGAAACATGAGGGTCAATATGCTTGGTCACGTTGATGACAGTCAAATGGAAGGGAAACCGAGCTGTAAAAACCTGCTGTAAAAAAGAAACAACTGGAATTGCACACACAAGCTTACAACAGATAATTAATGTACAGATATATACAGATATATGATATATGCATGTTTTTCCATGTACCTTAATTGGTGGCTCCCAATTTTGAAAAAAGAATGTGTTTTTTCGCGTAAGGAACGCGTAAGGTATGCGTAAGGAACGCGTAAGGCCCACCTGCTTTATCTGAACAGTTGCCCCATGGCCCCGAAACGCCGCCCTTTTTCGCAATTGCAATGGAAACAGCGCAGCCGCATCCTCGCGCAAGTGGTGTCCATCTTCCAAAGTCTTTCAAATCCCATGCCATGCCAGCGCCAAAAAGATCACTGGAAGAAAAACTATCAGCCAAGGCCCGAACTCTCAGCAAGCAGGCTCGAAAGCGTCGACGGCAACAGGCAACATTGAAAGCTGACGGTTCAGGCTCGTCCTCAACATCCTCTTCTTCAACATCTTCATCTTCGGATTCGACAAATGATGAATGACGCACTGAAATACTCTGTTGCAAAAAAGGCCGCGTAAGGAACGTTTCACGAAAAAAGATGATTTTGTGGTGACTTACTTTCGCGTAAGCCTTGCGTAAGCCCATAGAAAGCCCAGATCCCCGCGTAAGAGAAACCCCCAATAGCGTAAGGATGCGCAAGCATGTGCGTAAGCATGTTCTTACGACCTAAGAATCTATCAAGGTTTCCAGCATGGCTCATGTGTATATATATATATATATATATATATTATATGTATACACATTATATAATATACACATTATATATATATAATATGTATACAATGTGTATATATATATATGTAAACAATATATATATATATTATTGTTATTAATAATATTATTATTATTATCATTAGTATTATTATTGTATACATATATGTATATACAAGGCCTATGTAAGGCCTATGTAAGGGGATATACCACGATTTTCAATGGTTTTATATGCTACAGTAGCTCCATTTTTTTATCTTTGTCGTCTTTCCAGGCCTTCGAAAAGCGCCGCACCCTCCGGACAGAGTGGACAGGGTGCTCGAGAACTGGAGGAGGTGCCATGGTGGAGCTGGAAGTCCCATTGATACTGTGAATCATACGGGATTTAATGGGATTTTCATGGGATTTCATGGGATTTTCATGGGATTTCATGGGATTTCATGGGATGTTAATGGGATTTTCATGGGACTTTCATGGGATTTCATGGGATTTCATGGGATTTCATGGGATGTTAATGGGATTTTCATGGGACTTTTATGGGATGTTAATGGGACTTTCATGGGATTTCATAGGGTACGGTATGGTATATGTTGCTATAGCATTCCAGTAAACTAAGAGTTTTCTATGGAATTCCATTGTGTTTTTTAGATAGATCATTTACTGTAGTTGCATGGTTCATCTAGACCATAGCAAGCTGTGAATTTACCAGAGGATACTATATAACGGTTGGTGGCATCCAGAAGATAAATTTACATTAATTTACTATGCGATGGTTTGTAGCATGCTACAAGACACCCCCCAAACCATGCCCCAAAAAAACACTTCCTGAGAAGGTACGGCTGGATCCATGGGGCAAGATGTTTGATGATTTTTTAAAGGAGGGATAGAAGCACGATCTGAGCGCCCTCAATTCGTCATGTTTTTCTTCCCCATCGCTCCATGGCACTGGACACTCGGACACTCATCGCCAGCAGTTGATGGTAAAACCCGTGGCGTTTTGAGCTCCAAAATTCCCTCAAATCCACCGATTGCCCTGGGGAAACCATACAAAAAGATGGGGGATAATCCATGGTTTCCTGGGCAAAATGATCTACAAACGGTGGGTTTTCCACATCTATGTTGGTTTACTGGGGGGTGGATTGCACTTGTTTGTACGTGTGTGTTGCTTTCATCCCTACTGGAATGGTTCGTGTTGTTCGTTGCTCCAATCCCTGCATGAAAATATTCATCAACCACCGTGAATTCGTCTGAATGGTGTATCTCATATATTTGTAACTAATTACACATGATATCAGGATGTGACTATGTTCAACTAATTCCCATTAATAAGTTCCTTGCAAGAATATGTCATCTAGCCAAAACTCAATCGGTTTGATTGGCCATAACATAGGGTATCTTATATAATGTATCTCAAAAAATGTGAAACTGTGGCACCCATCAATAAGTTAGTGTATAACCAATATAGCTCTAGCAACTATAGATATATCGTGATATATCTACCATGATTGCTAGTGATTGGAGTGATCTGCCCCAAAAATGGCTGGTTTTCCTGCACCAAAAAAGGTAAAAAAATGGCCAGGTGCAGCAAAGCGTGTCAGAGCCCTGTCGTCGCGAGCCGGTGACAGATGGGCAAACACCCAAGGTGGCCGAATCGTATGGGGCCCCCTGTTCGATAGCGTTCAGGTGCCTTGTAAGTGGCTGAATTCTATGGTTTATGGTAGATTTATAACTATAGTTAATGGGGTTAATGGGGTTACATTGGGTTTATAAACCAACTTATTGTTTAGGGGCACCATGCTGTAGGATACTATGCTGATTTTACCAGCCCTATGACAAATGTTATGAAACACAAATCCCAAACGAAACCCTGGTTACTAGTATTCAATCTTTCCGTTTTTGTGGCCCATACGGTGGCATTTCAATGCATTGCATATAACCGGGGATAGTTATGGCTGCTTATGGGATAGGTCATGAGGATCACAATTCCACATACAACATGCTAAACATTGGACATGGTTTACCTGCAAAAGGTAGGATAAATTTACAGAATATACCTGCACAGCTGTCAGTGTACGTTTATCATCCCTTTGGATCCAGTTTTTTGTTGAGAATGAACCCCAAACTCATACCCTCAAATGCTGAAGCTATTTGGATCCATACTAGCATTATGAAAATTGCAATTTTCTGCTGATTAAAATCAAATTTGTCCAAGTTAAATTCCTATTTTCAATCGTTAATACTCATGTGTCATCATAGTTGAAGTGCCATTGTGTATTTTTCATGTCGTTGCTTAGTTCCTACGTTTTGTATGAACAATTTCCTATTTTGCTTGTTGAATCAAATTTCTAACAGTAAGATCCCTCGAATCCTCGCATCAACTTCCAACTTTCCATGGTTCAGCTTCAATTTCTGATTCAAATTCAATAGTTGAAACCTTTGTTTTCTATAGTTCTCTTGTGAAATCATCATGTTTAATGGTTAAATCATGTTAAATCATGTTAAATCCTCATTTTCCCCATGCTTTCCCTTGTTTTTGGTGGGTTTTTCATGGTGAATTTCTGAATTCCCGTGACCTCTCAGGATTTTATTTTCATTGATGTTTCTGTAGAAAGGATGTTTCTAAAAGAAAGAGTCTGCAATATGATTCATGTTTATATATGTTTATTGATATTTCTAGATTTTAATCATTTTAATCCTTAACTCTATTTTTGGCTGCGTGCAAAAGTTGTAGTTCCATTGGTTTTGATAGGTGTTCTTGGTATATGCATGCCAAAGTTTTTTGCACAATATCCTCTTGACACATAGTATATTCATTGTATCAGTTGGTACTTTATGTATATATTATTTTATAGGTACTACATGGGTATACATCTATTGCAAAGATAATATGTATATATATATATAGAGCACTTTGCATTTGCATTATTGGTCTTTGACATTGCAGTGCCAGGTCGCCTTTTGGTTGACACGACAGTTCCAATGAAATTCTTATAGCAAATGGCAGTGCAAATTCCAAGTTACTGTCTCTGCCCAAGTAATTGCAATATTTTTTGCATACTTCATAGTAATTTGCTGCATCAGTGCACAAGCACGGCAGCCATTCTATAGATAGAATTGTTTGGTAAGGCTGCTTAGGTGTTTCTTTTGCATGGTTTTGTGTCGTTCTGGTTACCATGATGAACTTATACCGACATAGTTTAAATCTTACCCACAATCATGAGTACATTCCTTATCAAACAGCCATGGTAACAGAATGTTTGCCATTCTATCTGCAGTGACAGCAAATTACCATGGAATATGCAGGAAAAATGCTCCTTCTGAAGCAAGGGGGAAATGGAAGTGCCTTGGGAATTTGCCAACTCTTGTGATCAACAAGTATTTTAACCAAAGAGCTGTTACTGCGTTAACACCTGGAAAAAATACCACTGCATATGCAAAACAGGTGTACACAATTTGTGTTTGTAAGGGCATAGGTGACTTATATGCCACCTGTTCCATAACTGTATGTACTATATAAGAAAATATGTTTGTACATAGAAAATAGCTGCATTCTAAGTGCATATGCAGCTCGGATGTGTTGACACGGCAAATGGCTATGGTGTGCAAAAACATGTATTGCTTGTATCACAAAGAACCCTTTAGATATCAGTGCATGCTTGAAGCTGCCATTTCTACTGTATATATACTGCGCACTTGTGACAACGCGCTTGCATACTGGCTGAAACTATTCCTCCACTAAAGCACAAACAACACATGAAACTCTTCATGCAGTAGATCAAAGGAATAAGAACAGGAGTGAGTATTGATTAAAAGGATGGAGAAGAGACACCTTTCCATATGAATGCACCCTGGGAGCTGCTACTTCCTAGCCCCATGTGTTGTGTCATAGCTGTTTCTGTCAAGTTTTATAAACACTCTTAACTCTTTTTGGGTGTTACTCAACCTGTCATAGAAGCACGGCCAGGCAGTTATGGCAATAGGGTACCTGCATTACATGTGCAGTGGCATAGCTTGTTACTATGAAATATGCAGGAAAACACATATTTTTGGAGAAAGGATATGTTGGATTTGCCCTTGCCATTTGCCCACTCTTATGATGAAAGCTTTTAATTACATTGAATCCTGGAGGAATTCCATTACATATGTAAAGTGTATGTGGAACATGTGTATGTGTATTGGCATGCCCTACTTATGTTCCATCCATATCATAGTTGCACACACTAGTACTAACAAGGAAAATGCAAGTCCATCAATGCCTATATATATATATATTCATATATATATATATATTGTACATAATATGGCTACAGTGACATTCTAAACACATATGCGCCTGGATGTTTTGTTACAGCATATGGCTATGGCATATGCAACAACCATGTTGCCTATATCACAAGGAACTCTTGAGACATCAGTATCCACTTGAAGACTGTTTTTTTTTGATACATATATATATATATATACATACACTGCATACTTGTAGCAAGATTATTATATACTATCAGATCTGAAAATACTTCCTCACTAAGCACAAACATTACATGATGTTTTTAATGCACTAGATCAAACAATGAAAACCTAGTCTATGGAACAACAAACTCTCTCCGTATAAAGCATGCCGGGAGTTGCTGTTTCCCATTGTGTTATATTTTTGAAAATTAAATCAATTTTTCCATTTTTGTTTTTAAACGATGAACGGACCAGTGCCAGGGCAAGGTTGAGTCCTGCAGTCTATATAGTGTTGTACCGGAATCTAGCTAGACCGTCCGGCTAGACCGTCCAACTAGAAAGGGGATGCCAGTCCGTACAACCCCGGACTGCTCCGTAGTACATAGCCTGGAAGGAGGGGGGGTCGACCATCCCTACACACACACACATATATATATATATATACATACATATATATATATATATATACATATATATATATATATGTGTGTGTGTGTTTTTTTTGTTTGACCCCTTCCCCCCCTCCAGGCTGTAGATTCCTACAAATTTGCAGAGATTTGCATCCCCAGAGATGATGATCCCGATCCCAAGAGATCCCCCGAGAAAATCCTGTGGTTATTTAACAGTTTGCCATGGGAAATGGCCCATTTATGGATTGTTTACCTATTAAAAATGGTGGATCTTTCCATAGTTTTTTGTATGTTTACCAGAGGGTATATGTGCATAGATTTTTTCACAACACGTGATCAAATGCGATATAGAAAAACTCCTGCATTTCCAGAAACGTGGTAAAATGGGGGCCCTTTCTGGGTACCTGAAACAACGGGAAGACTTCGCAGGTCTTCCGTGGCAGCCGCGAGATCACGGAGGAGATCTCCGCGCTGACGGTGGAGCAGCTGGACCTACTGGTGATGGCCTGGTATGGGATGTGATGTAAAGTTGATGGTAATACGCATCAAATGGTGATTTAATGGTAAGGTAATGCCAGGTATGACATACCATTTCTAATGGCAGATATTGATGTTAATGCTAGATTTTGATGGTATGATATGTTTCGTATAAAAACGAAAGAAAAAATGTGATTTCCTGTACTGTAATGGTGATTGAAGGGTGATTATAATAATCCATAATGAATTATAATGGTAATATGGATCAAACAAAATGGGGACAACAATGGAATGGGTTTGTGCAGACATGGGTTCTTATCCTAAATTGGGCACAGGACTCCGAATAATGTGGGTAAAACAATGTCAAAAACCATCCATGACTGGGAATGGTTTATACCGTATACCACCTATTAAAATGTTGATGACTGGGGGATGGTTATTTTTGTTTTACCCACATTAAAGGGGATGATATGGGTAAGTTGGAATGATGAAAATGATATGCTATGGGGGGTTCCTAGAACACGGGAACCCCAAAAAAGTTTTTTTTTTGATGGACAATCCATCTATAAATGGATGACTGGGGGTACCCCCATGACTTGTCGGAAACCTCCATGGCCTGTGGGAAGTTTTTTGGGGATGATCCTCGGGATATTTCATGGGGGTAGCCTCTGGTTATGACTAACAGTTCGCCATGGTATAGATGGTCCTAATCGAAATAGATCGTTTATATACTGTACCTAGCTATAAAATGGTGGATTTTTCCATGGCGAACTGTTAAAGAACCACAGGGTATACCAAAAAGTATCTTGCTACTGGGATGATAATTAACGCATAGAAAAAACCGCATTGAGAAGCCAAGTAGTTAATGAATATTGGCTGTGTTTGAAACCTTTGTTGATTGATCATTACTTCTTGGGTAGTACTATCCATTATGTTGGGTATTGTCACAATCCGCGAATTGGGAAATCCGATACACCAACCAGCATAAAGCGACCACGGAGGTGTTTGAAAACTGGTCAAATGGGATTGCGCAACCTGAATGAGAAATGAAGGTTTTTTTTTTTCATGGCGACATTATATTGACCAACGATGTGTGAATGGCCAAATAACAGACATTCCCCCAACCCTCAGCCAGGCATGATTTCATGGCGATGTCATGAGATTTCATCATGGGGATTGAATTGGATGAACCAACCTTAGTGAGGATTTATTAGGATTTAATGTGGTCTCATATTTTAGTGCAATATATAAACCACTTCATGGGCACAAACAACAACTAAACCAACTCTATATATATATATATATTCGGGGATATAGCAGACCTGGGACCATGGAAGGAGGATCACGGATCACAAAGTGTGCTATGACCGAGAAGAAGATCACAAAGCCAATGCATTTGTGAACATCACAAAGCATTTCAGATTTGGGCCATTTGGGCCTGGTGCCATTTTCAGATTGCAGTCGGGTGATGAAGGACCCAAAGTCACGACGGGAATAGACACCTGGAAACCCCTGGCGCTCGCAACGCTCCGTCTGTCCTAACACCTGCCATGGCCAGCCGAATTTCACATGAAACAGTTCGTGTTGAACACAGCATGCAATATATATATATATACACATGATATTTTATGTTATATATATATATATATTATATTAAATATTATTATATATTAAATATTATATATATTACATTATTATATATATATATATACATATATATAATATTATATATATTATATATATAATTATCTTATATATATAATATTATATATATTGACATATATACAATATTATATATTATATATATTATCTTATATATATAATATTATATATATATTGACATATATGCAATATTATTTATTATATATATAATATTATTATATATATAATATTATTATATATATATACATATATATAATATGTATATATATTATATATTATTATATTATATATATTTTATATTATATTATTATATTATATTATATATTTTATTATATTATATTTTATTTTATTTTATTATATTATATTATATTATATTGTATTATATTATATTGTATTATACTGTATTATATTATATTATATTATATCATATATTTACATATATATATATATAATATTTGCAAGTTGACAAAGTGGATCAACCAGCGGATTCGGGGCATACCCCCGATCAGCACGGAACTTGGGACTCGAAGGAAACATGTTTAATGACTCCCTGGGAATTTCAGTGGAAAAACATAAAGATGAACAATGGACCGGGATGTGAGGCATTCACCAGACAAATGATTGGTGTCACCGTTGTTAGCCGAAAGAAATTGAAATTTGAAAACACAAATAGGCAAGAAACATGAAGACATTACCAAAGAACAACTGATTGAAGGAAGAAACACATGTGGCATTTGGACAAAAATCGAGTAGACAGATTCATCCAAAAAAATAGCATTCTTCGTGTTTTCTTTGAGCACAAAACGTAAGTTTGTTTGTTTTTTGTGATGAGCCAGCAAGTGAATCCAAATACGCGTTTGGAATTCTAAGGGTCCTCGAACAGTTTTAACATGACAAGTTCCGGTGAGCTGTGCGTCCAACATGGTAGGATGAACAGCAAGTGCAACATATCATCAACCGAAAGTGGGGATGAAATCAACAAAACTGGGCAGCTGAGCTGCTCATAGCTGCAACGATGGTCAAGTGGCATGGAAAAACATGCAGTACATCATATCTGTATGTATATATATATATATACCTATGATTTCCAGATCCTGGAAGAAAGTGGGTTACGGGACAAAAACCCTTTTTTTTCTTGGGATATGGAAGCTCAAGGTATATATAGATATATCTAAGGCACATTCCGGGTACATATTTTGAAATCAAAACTGCGGGGCGCACATTGACCCACAAAGTTGATTTACCTCAGGATTGAACCTTTTTTTGATGTTCCTTGCTAGTTTTTGACTCATACTCACTTCACATTGCATTGAGTTGTATGTGTTTCCTTTAAATGACTACTTGGAGCTGCAGTTCCAATGAGTAATTGAATATATAATCCAATAGAGAATTAAGCATAAAATAGCCATAGTTGAAGGGCCCGATATGGAAAATAAAAGGATGTGATTAGCAAGTTCGCCACGATATTCTACTGCACCCCAAGAAACCCAACTGAAAAAGTACAGGAACTTTGATAATAATCAAAATAAACAAACAACTTAAAGCATGGAACTATGAGAATAATCACCATGAATCACCAAAAAACAATAGAATTAGACTTGGAACATCTTGGAAAAGAACATCAGTTCTGACCCCAAAGTGCACTTTACATCGTGATGCGGTGGCAGGACTACCTGGACCGGGCCAAGTGGAGCGAATGGCAGGTGGACTTTGGACCGCAGCTTGGAGCGAAAAACGGTGATGTTCGCCGGCAAAAATGGCGAATTTATGGGAATTTGGGACTTTTCGGGTGATTTCATTTGATGCAGTTACGGCCATTTACCAAGTATAACTGGTTATAAATGGGATTATACATTCTATAAATGTGGTTATAAGTACTTATAACTGATAAATGGCCATAACTGTGGTGATTCTAATTTTTTGGATGTAAAGTGAGATTGAATGTGAGCTTTGCTAGTTGATTTGCCTAGGTCAACTGTTGGGTGTATGGGGATGAAATCACTTTTTTTCAATAGTTCTATGTGAACATCATTAACAAACACAAGCGGGGGGGGTACCACCTTGTAGGCAAATGCATGTAATCCGAGGGGTGTTTTGTGGGGTATTTCCGCCCAATTTTCCAAGGTGGAGCCGGGTGAGTATCAATCGTTTCTTGTGAAAACAAAGGATCCTAGACATGATTATAGTTTATCTACCCAGGTATCTATATATTTCACCATGGTTTATCATAATTTTATCATGTTCCCAAATCTAAACTGCAACCTTGGGCCCCATGTTTGGACAAACATCCTTTTGGGTGTGTTTCAACTTTGGGTATACCCCCAAAAAGGGTTATCAATCGGAAAAATGGCGTGGTACTGCATTTGCAGACAAAGCCATATCGTATCCTATTTAACCTGCTTATATAAGTTATAGATCCCATTATATAAATCTGGTTGGTGGTTTGGAACATGTTTTATTTTTCCACTCAGTTGGGAATAATCATCATCCCACTGACGAACTCATATTTTTCAGAGGGGTAGGTCAACCACCAACCAGAAATCCTCCATGTTCCCATATGTTTTTCCGGTTTGACACGGCCGCTGATGATTGGCACCGCAGAAGATTGGTCAGCAATTTTTGGCGATCCCCACGGTCGAACAAAATTCCGCAAGGCCAGCAGTTCCTCAGCATTCCGCAAGGTGCCTTGTAACTGGGGCAGGTAAAAGCCATGAAATAAGCCCAGAACACAAGGCATTATGCCTTAATTGCTATTTATGGAATGAAATGTAGGGGTCGACTTCTGTTCTTTCGCATGTCTTGTCATTCTCCAGCCTGAAAAAGGTCTTGAATGTCTAGTTACCCTCCCATGATCAACTATGGCAATGAGCAATTACAGAACATTTATCATTGCCATTGTGTATGACTTTCCTGCCACAAACGGAAGTTACAGTGTTTTGCATTCTCATGCTAGATTACTGCAGCATACCTTTCTTCGGACATTTCTTTTCCGGAAGGGGAGACTGCACCCGTGGTTATAATATGTTATAATTTATGATGATGTTTCGCTGGATTGCCTCGCGGTGTCGCCAACGAGTTGGACTGAACCCCTGCGTGTTTCCTCCCCCGTCTGTTGTTTGCAACACTTCGAATCTCAAAGAAGCCGTGAAATTGGGCAAAATATCACCCTGTTGCTGCACCCTACTGCTCCAGCTTCTGCAAAGGTGTGAATGGACCCCCCAGCGTCTTGACCAGGGCTGCCAGTGCCACTTCTTCCAGTTCATCTGAAGGCAGGGTTCAGGGACCACGAATGACTGAGGGGATGTTTTCTAGGGATTTAATGGATGTTTCGGATATCACCAACAATATGGGATATGGGGCTATGATTAATTGGACATGCATCTAACCGACATCGATGATGGGGCTCGTCTTGATGAATCCTGGATAGCGGCCGAGGTTCCACAAAAGAAGAAGCGACAGGATGACACTGATGACACAATGATTATATAAGAGGCTAATCATGTGTGACATGATATCCCATAGGATCCTTGGTGCTGGTATATATGCTAACATTGGGGGTATATTGATGGGATCCATGTTACCATATATAGCATACATGGATCCTACGGGTATGAATGTCACTTCTGGTCATGTCCCTCCAAATGGGAATCATGTTACCTGCGGACTGCGGGGACTGCTTTCTCTGAAGTCTAAAAATAAAGAACCTTATTCCAGCCAGTTGTTCATCAACATGTTCCCCAATTAAACTGCCATCAAATGGGTCTATAGCCCCATTCGAAGCCACACTAGACTATGATAGAATTGCTGATATGTCCCATACAATATCCCCTTCATCATATCCCCATTCGTTGCTGGTTTTATCTCACCAAATAGCCCCCAGAAGTATATTCCCAAGTTGGTTCTTGATGGACTATCCCCGTTTTAGTTACTTATATGTCATGTTTGGCTGCTCGGTGGTTTCAAACATGAATTTATTTTCCATAATATATGGGATAATCCTTCCCATTGATTAATATTTTTCAAGATTGTTAAAACCACCAACCAGTTGGGGTTGCTTGATACCTCTAAAGCCATGAGTCAATCACCCGTGTTCCTATTAAACCGGACATGTTGGGGTCTCCATCTTGCCCCATCTTCAGACACAACAAAAAACGTTTCTGGTTGTTTCTTAATGTTGGCTGTATACATCTATATAGAATCTATATACCTTATAATGTGGTTAAAACAATAATAAACCATCCCCCAAATTACCATAAATTGGTATAAACCGTTCCCAAATGGGTAGTAAAAATGACATGGATTTAACCACATTAATCCCATATTATCCCTTAGACCAGCCTCATTTCTCCCCATGTTTGTTGGCCACACCCGGTCCCCCTCGTTGTGTGGTGGCGCGATGGCGCACGAGGCGATGTTCAGAGCGATGGCTCCGAGCCAGATGGCTCACAGCAGGAGCGCGCAACAGCGAAAGGGAACGATCGTAACGTATCTATAGTTATATATATAATAATATATATATATATATATACAATTATGTTGTACAATGTTATATATGCTTATATATATATATATTGATGTATATATATATATATAATTTCAATGTACTATATATAATATAAAATATAACTATATATAATTTAATATGTGATACAATACAATATAATTATATATAATATATATATATATAATCAACATGTATTATATATATATATATCATAAAAGATAATTATATATAATATAATATAATATAATATGATATAATATAATATAATTATACATATATATATATATATTTATATATTATATATATATATATCACCTTAGTCTAAGAACAATACTCACGAATTAACCACTGACTGGGATGCACATTTCCTTCACGGCGATTCCATGTTTCAGCGAGGTCGTTCGGTTCACAATAACCACCTCTCTTATTGCTGTTCAAGCCAGTCGCCTCACAGATACCCTCTGGTAAACATACAAAAAACTATGGAAAATCATATTTTTTATGGATAGCTCAACTATAAATGGCAATTTTCAATAGCTATGTTTTTTAGGATATTCCCTTACATAGGCCTGACACATAGGCCTTATATATGGTGGGTACCTCCAATTTAGGATCCTGAAATTCCCATTGAATGATCTCAAAATCTCAAGCCTCAGTCGTTTCATATCCCAAATCCTGATCTCTGTTTTTTTCCTCCACCTTTTCCTTGGGAAAACATCACTTCCAAGTGCCTTCGTGGGAATCCCAGGACCCTAAAATGGAGGTACTGTATTATATATTACTATAATATAAGGCCATATTTTGAACCATATTCCCTTACATATCGTAGCCGTTATAAAAGCTTATTTTTCGCTAGGTACCTCCAATAAATATCAATAAATCAGTCCCTGAAATGGTGATTTGCACCGCCCAGGAGCTTATGCCGTCGCCGACCGCGCCACCAGAGCCCGTTCGGGCTGCGCGGCACAGCGAGGACATGTCGCTGGCGGAGCTGAATCTGAAGCTGGCGTCGCTGGGCGAAGAGTCTGAAATCATCTCTGAAATCCGAGTAAAGTAGTGATAGATTATGATAGATTCAGATAACTCTCATTTTTTTTTGAAGGTACTACTGATGGAAGAATGCTCACATGCTGTTGGATAGTGTCAATTGTTATGTTTGGTTACGATGTTCTTAGCTTATTTACCACCCAATTTGGGATGACTTTGCCACATTGAAAATACCCTCTGGAAAACTAACAGTTTGCTGTTAAAAGATCCACCATTTTTAGTGGGTAAATCAACTATTTCTATGGCCATGTTCAATAGCTATGTTAAATTACCAGAGGGTATCATATATTGTTGGTTTAATAGTAGAGTATCCCATTCTATTTCATTCAAATCCCATGAAAATTCTCATTATATCACAATTCTATCACCATTGTTCACCATTTACTCTCTGATAATTTAATGATTCGCTATGGCAAATTGGTCATTTACTAGGTCAATCATCGAAGGAACTGGGCCGAGGTCAATGGCACGTGGCCTTCAGAGAACTGCTGGAATGACCTGAGGGTGCTGGGAAACCGGAAAGCTGGATGGGTGGATAATGGGAATGTACCCTCTTGTAAACTAACATAACTATGGAAAATCACCATTTTTAATGGGTAAATCCACTATAAATCACCATTTTCAATAGCTATGTTGACATAACCAGAGGGTAATTAATATGAATATGAATAGGGAATTGTATAGTAATGGATGGGAATATGTTCATATTAATATGGTATAGTAATATGTTTTTGTCATATTCATATTAATCTAAATTTACATGGATGGGAATGGGTATAGTACTAAAGAATTCGGATGTAGTTTGGATATGAATTTCCAGGTAAATGTATATACTATGGATGGGAATTAATATACTGTACCATGGTATAATACATGAACATATACACCATTTAACTGTTATACCATTGACTACTTGACATTATATACCATTCATATACCATTGGAATGTACTATACATTTAACTACTACTAATGCTACTAATGTTCATGGCTGAGTTTTGATGGTTGTCTCCCCTAAAAAGAGCGAAACGTGTTTCCAGAATGGTATAGATGATATGGTCCACATATTTTCCAGGATCCCCACTTTTCTTTTTTTTGTGGGGTTCTATAATTTAGTAGGTTTGTTTGTTATGAATAGAAATACATGAAACAGGTATATGAATCAATATTAATTACATAGATGTCAACAAAATGCAGGGTAGATCTGATTGACTGGATAGGATGTGAGGTATCATGGTTTCCTCATGATTTCATTCATTTCTCTCCCACTCAGTGCTCGCATTTCTTGGGGCATCATGCTCCGAAGAACATATTATGATATATATATATATTAATATATATAATGTCAATCACAGATCAATAAACAATTCAGTAAACATGCTATTGAAATAGAGCTTTCCCAATGAAACAACCGAGGGGTCAACATCAATCTGAGGATGCCATCACAGGAAATTGAAGGGAGCGACATCCAGAATTGGACCCGGTCGCCCTTTCAGCTGTTGGATGGTCGAAGATGTGGTGATCAGTTCATGAGCAGAGTAGCGAACAAATCAACAGAATTGGTTTTCGTGAGACTTAGGAAGCATCCACATTCGCTCATGAAATCACTTTCTAAACCTCTTGGTCTACAACCTGTAGTGACATCGCAAGATATTGCTTAAGAAATTTATGATTACTGTAGTCCCTGGGAGACCATGATTTTCATGATCAAATCTGGTTTGACATGTTGTCTATAGATACATCCATGAACATCATGTCACGAAAGCTGGGACATGGATCTGACGGGGACACCCGAAAAAATCGCAGTACTTCCATGATTCTACGCGGTTTAATATGGCCAACATACCCATAGTATCCATGTATGGTATATATATATATATGCTAACATTTGGGGTATATTGATGGTAAATGTTACCATATATAGCAGCACCATGGATCCTATGGGATATGGCCAACTTTCTCCGTTGACCACATGAATATCAGGACACGGGCCCCAATTTAGGTGTCCTTTAAGCATTCCTTTAAGCCTATTTCGTATCAGATCGTATTAGTGAAGACTTCTTGCTGGGGATTTTAGTGATGATGGTGATGATGTGTTTTCAAAGTTGATTTAAGCCATAGCCACCTTGGGCTGGCTTGTATGTTTGTCCATGCATGGAGATCGATTGTGAGACCCTCTTGGTCAGTCAATGTTGACGATCTTCCTGGCCATCGAGTCATCCAACGGCAGTTGCCAATGAATGTCTGCTTTGTGAAAAAAACATTCCTTGCGGACGAAAAAGGTTGTGGGGTGAGGATGGATCGGGTTGTTGGTTGTTGTGGCACGAAGCGAAGATGGAATCGGAAGGGGCACGGTGGGGCAGGATGTTCTTCTATGATTCAATATGCAATGGAGGTTTTGCACGTCGGATATCACTCCGGATGATGATTATTTTTGTTGTAAAATGTCACACACGAGTCGGAGAGTCGGGTCGATGTGGCAAGCAACGTGGACCTCAAAACCTACCCTCTGGTTATTTGTTACATAGCCATGGAAAATGGCCCAATTATACATAGATGATTTTTGCATTAATACCTCCATTTATAAGGGATTTTCCATGGCTATGTTAAATAACCAGATGATATCAATTTTATAACGGCCTGATATTGAAGATATACCATGAAATGGTCGAGACACACAGGACCCAATAACCATGATGTTGTTTTTGTCTGGGCAAGGTCAAGTGTCAACCCTTCACAAACCTTTCATCTGGGAAATCCAATGCCATCATCCGTAGACTGGGTAGAAAACCCCAATTTCACAGACACCAAAGGTCACCAAAGTTTGGGATGGTGGGACTGGCATTGGGATTGGGTTTTGTCTGTATCTCATTACAGACAATACCATCTGGTTATTTAACATAGCCATGGACAATCACCATTTTTAATAGGTAAACCATCTATAAATGGGCTATTTTCCATGGGTATGTTAAATAACCAGAGGGTAATTTGAGCAGTGTTTCTCTATGTCGGCATGTCCCCTCCCGTATGTTTTTGCAGTCGTGCAGGCTATCATTTCACGGCTGAAAAGGAAAAATGGTGCCAACAATGAAAGGTCACGTCAGCGAAGAATATAAGTGTACAATGCGAACCAATCTCCAAACAGCATTTCATATTTCAGCACATACAAGTTTTCTTTCGATGTGTTTGTCGTCAGCTTTCGTTAGCCTCACTGTGAGGATACCGCAGGTGCAGAATTACTTCAGCATGCTGAAACAGGATGGGGTTACCCTCTGGTTATGTCAAAATAGCTATTGAAAATGCCCCATTTATAGTGAGTTTTTCCATTAAAAATGGTGATTTTCCATAGTTATGTTAGTTTACCAGAGGGTACATGTTCCCTCAACCAAATTTCATGCGATCATTGTGTTCTTCTCCTCACTGCTTCGTCTGGTTGCCTGACATTGCCTGACAATAGCTGAATACCTGCAGCGCGCAGCGCCATGCCTGTGGTTCCAAAGAAGAGGTCCTCGGCTGTGGGGACGACTGAAGCGGCGGGTGAAAGGCTAGTCTTCATGGGTTTATTTATGTTATTTGTTTGCTCGAAAACGTATGTATATATATATATAATATAAATATCTCTCTCTCTCTCTCTTCGAGCAATCTAAGATTGGTATTTCACCCCACTGTCTGTACCGATCTGTTTTGAGGTTGGTCTCCAACATTAGTCATGGAGATGAAGATTGGGCGGCGGTTGTTGCGGTGATCAGCTGATCATGCACTCCCAAATGTAACATAATTTCACAATAGAACCCACAAACATGTGGTATGTCTTCTCTGAGGATAGGGTATATCATCCTATGATTTGCCCACCAGAAGTAGTATGATATAGTATGATATAGTATACCATCAGATTTTAATATCATACTGCTTTGATAGGGTATATCAATGGGTCCCATGTGGTGACCTTTCCCATGACCTGGGGGGCCCCCCTGGCGCCAGGATCACGCAGTACTTCGCTCGGCGGAGGCCCTCACGATCTCAAATGTTGGGTAGCAAGAGGAGGTACTTCCACTGGAATCCATGGGTTTTTACAGGGAAATCATCTCCATTCATGGCCGCAAGTAATTCAGGGTAGTGAAATATGATAATTTACCCAGTTGATTCAATTTATTCCTGATTTGAGGATGATCTTGATTTGTCACAAATACATACTATAGTATAGGTTTGATTTACGTGTAACACCAAATCAGGTGGACACAAGAAAAAAAACTGGTGGGCGAATTGATGTTCCAAAGATGGAATGATTATTGGCACTGTTTTTTTGGGACTATATAGTTGAAACAGCTATGAAGACAAGGTACTTGCTATGAAGTGGTTGATACATGTTGATACTTGACATAATGTTGAATGCTGATCATGTTCATCCTGTTGAAACTATTTGTCACTTACCAAATTGCATGGTACCTGCGACTCTCCCAGTGACCACACCACTTGCCACACCTTGATGCCTGGATGAGGCGCTTGATGTTTTACCTAGACCACTATCGATTTCTCTACAAGCACCGAAGGGAACACTACAGTCGGGGCAAGTACCAGGCGACAAACGGGTGGACCTGGTGGACCTAGTGGAACTGTGGTGCAGATGGGTCACATATATATATATACACTGGCTGGTGGTTTCGAACAATTTTTATTTTCCATAATATATGGGATAATCCTTCCCATTGACTTTCATATTTTTCAGAGGGGTTGCAACCACCAACCAGAGATGATTTTGAACTTGGAACCTGCGGATTGACTCGCGCGGCTCCTTGGACACATGGAACACATGAATCCTGCGCAGTGGTGTGGCTAGCACTCGCGATCGTATGCTGGCTTCGCATCTTGCAAAGAAAAATGATGTTGGTGTTGTTGGTTTGAATCATATTTCTCACTAAAAGTATTTTGTGCAGTGGTGGATTCAGGTGTTTGTTTATTTTGTTGATTGTATGGTATTGCATTGGTAGCAACTACTGCATGACATGTTGATGACATTATGCGTTTTTGTCACAGACCTGTTGGACATATGCCATTTCCTAATGAAGATGAATCAAAGAGTAGACTTCCATCGTTTTTCGCTCCCAAGAGAACCCCTCATATTTCCCTGAACACAGCTGCGACATTCTTCGGACTGTGCTGTGCCCGTAGGAGCCTATGTATGTGAAGGACTACCGTAGCCCAGATTTCCGTGGGATTCTAAGTACAGTTGGAGTTGGACTTGGCGATTTTGGATCGTTTCCAACATGGCTTTACAAGGTGGTGCCCCAGTTCGTTAGCTAAATTGGTTTATAAGTCCAATATCTAGGGTTTATGGGGGGTATATCTATAGTTAATGGGGATTATAAAACAACTTATAACTGGGGGGGTTACCACCTTGTGAAAAAAATGATGGTTGGTCATCAAGTTTCCCACATGAACATTGCAACTGTGGGGATTCATCATGATTCATCGATGTTCCTCCTCCATATCTGGGATGGTTGTGACATTTGACCCCTGATGGCCTGAAGTTGTTGCGGCTCTCCATGATGTTTGACGATGTTTCCCTACATAAACCACATCCCATGACCTCCCAATACCTCCCATTATACAGATAGTTTCAGTACTTCCTTGGGAACGGAACGACTATACTCCTCAGGTCCTCGGTCATCACGGCAAAGGAACGATCTTCCATTTAGTTCGATGATTTTCCCAAGAGAAACCTCCATTTACCCTCTGGTAAACATACAAGATACTATGGAAAATCACCATTGTTAATTGATAAATCCATATAAATCCACTATTTCAATGGCCATTTTCGCTATTTTGACAGAACCAGAGGGTATATTTTTGGCCGCCCAGGTTTTCCAGGCTTTTGGCCTGGAAACTTTGGCTATGCGCAGTCGCAGGATCCAGCGGATCACTCGGGGGCAGTCGCGGGATGGCGGGGTGGCCATGAAAGAAACGGCAGTTAGTTGGCAGCTATTAATTTTGTCGGCAAATTATATATGGGAACATTTCTTTACGTGGAGGTGTCCATTTGAATAGGATTTTCCATGATGTTCCATTCTAAAGCGACCATTTTTTGGGGATCCCCCAGGGAAATTCCCATAGAAGACATGGGAAAACCACTGGATTGAACCCATGGTTTTTATCGGGACAAGCTATGGGTTTCACCAGCTGAAAATGGCGCAAGAAAGCCGAGCCCTCCAAAGTTCCCGCAACTTTACGGAGGTTGACGGGCTTAGTACCCTCTGGTAAACTAACGTAACTATGGAAAATCACCATTTTTAATGGGAAAACTCACTATTAATGGTCATGTTCAATAGCTATTTTGACATAACCAGAGGGTAACCACCATACTACGGACTTATTAGGCCACCTGCTGGGGACTCCCAAAATAGGCATATCGTCATGGTTTTCCTCTCCAATATCACAGGTTTTGGTGTATCCCATTATTTTTAGATATTTTTTAGGACAAACCCAAGCATCATGTTGTTGGTTAAACTTATCCCAGTATGCTCCATGAAATGAACCCCCATTCTGATTCGTTATTTGCCCACATCATACCCCAAATTTTGATGGTTCGAACCTGATCGAACGGCATTTTAGTTGGTTCTATCCACATTTTGGTTGGTTAACTCATTAACTCCTCATTTTGGCTGCTTTATATCCCCATTCTGGAATGGATAGAAGATGCAGATTTCCCGCATCAGAGACAGCCAGGATCAGGCCGCGCTTGAGAGTTGGGTCGACCTGGTCGGCCATGGATGGTGCTCTTGCGGATTTCCTAACATGGGGGATCCCCTAAACCAGGGGTTTCAGTACCCCATGACGGATCCATGGTGCTGGTATATATGCTAACATGACTGGGGTATATTGATGGGATCCATGTTACCAGATATAGCAGCACCATGGATCCTATGGCTACTAAAATGGTCTAGTTTGGGTTTTTTCCCCTTTTTAGGAAACCTCCATTTAGTTCGATGAATTATCCATCGAATTTCTGAATTACTGTACCTATGAAAATGGTGATGATTTATTGAAACCCTCCGGGAAGTCGTTTTCCAAAAAGCTATGGTATAATTAGATGGCCCAGTTCGATGATTCCACCAGTGCTTAAAACTGGTGATGTTGTCCCAAACTGTTCGTCATAGGCTCCAGGTTTACGGCGTTCCTTTTTGGGGTAACCCCTTTTCCGCGAAATCCTGAAATTTTTGGGCTTGGTAGATGAGCCTTTTTGATCCTTTTTGGGATTGAGATTATATATATATATATATATATATATTATACTGGTTGGTATATATAATTATATATATATAATTTTATTTACTGGTTGGAAACATGGATCATGTATCCGCTTACCCTTTGGTAATCTAACGTAGCGAACTGGAAAAATCACCATTTAAAATAACTGGTTGGTGGTTTGGAACATGAATTTTATGAATTTCCATTCAGTTGGGAATGTCATCATCCCAGCTGACGAAGTCCATCATTTTTCAGAGGGGTAGGTCAACCACCAACCAGTATATATATATATATATCCCCCCAAAAGTTAGGTGATGTTTTGATTAGGACATTTACCAGCTGACAATTGACAAGCCTTGGATCATTTTGAGATCCTCCATGACTGAAGCAGCAAGAAATCTTATGGCCCGATTTCCGAGGCACTCCTGGTGAATTACAATCGACTGAGCCTCCAGACCGGCCTTTGCTGATACCCGGGCATCGCAGAGGGGGCACCATTGAATGACAGCAACACACATGTCAGTGTGTGTCCAGGGAAAAAGAAATGGTGAGTTCAAGTCCCAAAAAAAGGAATCTTGATTCTTTGGTGATTCTTTTTGAAACTATTTTGTCATTGTTTTTTATTTTGTGGTGTTTTTTTGAAACTATTTTGTCACCATTTTTTGGGGGTTCATGGATGGTAGCATTCCTCAGTATTCCACGATGAAAACGTCTCCGGTCGCAAGTCCGGTCGCAGAGTCTCACCCACCAACACCCAGATGCAAAAGGAATTCATTGCTCAGTGGCACGGACAAATGGAAAAAAACACGGGAAATTATATGGAAATATATGAAAATGTTGGTTAACCAATATTTACTGGTTGGTGGTTTGGAACATGGCTTTCATTTTTCCATATATTGGGAATGTCATGATCCCAACTGACGAACTCAATCATTTTTCAGAGGGGTAGGTATACCACCAACCAGTTATATGATCCTGGATAATTACCTTACATACATTGGGATATTGGCCACTAAACAGACTTCAAAAACCAGAGACTCTGAAAAATTGATATTTGTAAGGATAAACTATGGTGGGCTGGCGGATTGCATTTCTACCTGCTGTGATGTTGAGACTGTGAATCGACCTCAATCAACCGGGAGACAGGGGGCGACAGTTGTCACTGGGGAACAAAATGAATTGCCATGCCAGTTGACAATGAGAAACAAACCTGCATGAGTCCTACCTGATCGTAAACCTAGATTGGGTAGTATACTTGAACAAATTGCAATCAATGGACACATTATATATTATGCATATATTTAAATAGATCATATAATATATACATAATATGTATCTATATATTATATATATACATAATATATATATATATATATATATATCATATATATATATCATATACACACGTCCACATGATTGAGAACAATTATATAACCGTGTCTTTTTCAATGGTGGATCTTGATGAGTCGAAGAATCCAGTGGATGGGATGAAACCGACTGTGTTGGAGCCGACGAAGCATTTCGTGGTCCGCCGTTTCTCGTGGGTCATACCCCCAGTTGTAAGTAGGGATAAGTAGTCAATGGGAATTTCAGGATCCTAAAATGGAGGGAGCTACCATATATAAGGCCTATGTAAGGCCTATGTAAGGGAATATCCCCACAAAATATGGCCTTATATGGTACAGTACCTCCAATTTAGGATCCTGGAATTCCCATTGAAGTAGGGTTAATCGAATTAACCACTAAGCGTGGTTATAGCCGCTATATACTAAGTTGGATGCACCATGAAGTATGGAGCAGAAAACTGCGCTGATTAAAACAGGAAGTTGGAGGGTCTCGCACTGGAGACATTTACGCCAATGCGCACCCTGTTTGGCTGTCATGGTCATGGATTCGTCACCCAGCACAGCAACATAGAAATTGGATGATCACATGCAAAACATCGACTTCCTAAGAATGATGGAAGACGTCATGTATTCAATCAAGAGTCCATTCCAAGTGTAGAAATGAATCATCTATATCGCCCTTGCATGCTCATACCTTGGACTAAGGGCATCACAGCCAATATTTGGCATTGGTCTCTAACACCTGATACACATGGTGTTCCAATTTTGATACTATCCCAAACTAGTGCTGAACAAATTCTGTGTGTGTTCGTTGTTGAATTCCATTCCAGTGGTTTGAAAGGACAGAAACGGGTTCAGCATCAGGGGTTTAGCAGCCCCATCTCCCTCTGCTGTGGTGCCCTTTTTCGTGGGCAGCCGTGGCATGGCAAGGCGTCGTGGATGACCAGTACGGGTGTTGATACAACCAAAAGATGCGCTAAATGGCTCTTTAAATGGGATATAGTCATCCATAAATCATCCAATATAACATCATATAAGCATAACAATGGATGATCTCTATACACAATCGGTTTTTTTAATAGAAGAATCATTCATTTTCATGGGTGTATCTATGGGAAAACAATTGAGAAGTAATGGCATATACACCATGACCATGGCATTTGTGATATCACCATGAGGAGTTCAGAAAGAGTCCCACTCTCAACCAGTGTTGATTGAAACCACATTCAAATTCAAGGTACCCTCTGGTAAACAAACAGTTTGCGAACTTGAAAATGGCTATTTAGTTCGTTGATTTACCCATAAGAAATTGTGATTTTCCATAGCTATGTAAACGTTTACCAGAGGGTACTTGTACTCAGTTCATGTGGTACCCCTGTGGCACCACATTTGGCTCCCCAAAAGGCTCAGGAGTCAGTGGGAGTCGGTGGCCCATCGCGGTGACACGGTGCCCGGTGCTTCAAAAAAAACACCGAACTTGAACCGTATGATATTGTTCAGCGGCCAGAGGCACCAACCAATTTTTTGGTAGGCATAGTTTTTTGATGTGTTTTGGTGTTATGTCAAAAACCTGCAGAAACTAAGACGAAACAGAACAGTTTTTGTGGCATCTAGCTGCAGAAACTAAGAAGATACATCAATCAATGGGAATTTCAGGATCCTAAAATGAAGGTACTGTACCATTTTTCAGGCCATATTTTGTGGGGATCTTCCCTAAAAAATAGGCCTTAAAAAAAGGCCAAACATATATGGAATCGGTACCTCCAATCAATCAACACACCGGATCCGAAACATTCCGAAAAGCGGTCAGCTCGTCGCAGGTGACGCGTTGGTTTCACGCTTTTCAACATGGACCTGCAAGCCAATCCCGTCTGGAACCTTGTTGGGATGAAGTTGCAATTGGTGAACTGATACAGACTGATACAGTTGAGATTAAACTTCTATGGTTTAACATTGAATGAATTTTGTCATATGTTGTCTGATTTCAATGCATTCACAGTTGTTTTTTTGTTGGGATGTCTTGAAATCTTTGCTGGTTGGTGGTTTGGAACATGTTTTATTTTTCCATATATTGGGAATTTCATCATCCCAACTGACTTTCATATTTTTCAGAGGGATTGAAACCACCCACCAGGATTTTCATGGATTTTCATTAACCATCATGAACCATATATTAACCATCATTATTAACCATCATTTTTATTATTACCATAGTATACCACCAACTAGCTATGTATCATTTCACCATAGTATCATTATTATTAATTACCATAGTATTATTCCATATATTCCAACAAACTTTGAGATTTTGTATCATTAATTTCAGCTCATAGTGGCGCCAGAGTGCGCTGGATTCAACTGGAGACACGTCGTCACGTCGACGCGAACCGTCGACGCGAACACTTGGAACTTGAACAGGTCGGAGCAAGTTCCCAGCACTGGCGCTGCGGAAAACGGTAGTTTCATGGCGAGCTTTAAGCTACCAACATTACCAACCAGGTAGAGTACACAGATCATTTAGTCATTTTATGTGGTCAAAGCCCACTATAGACCTTGCTTAAAGTGCCTATTTCTCAAAATTTCTTGTGGCTTAAGATCCCCCATGATCCCCCCATATCAGTTGACTCGTCCAAGCCGTGCCCCTTCTTCACAAGGTCAATGAGATTCTTTACATCAATTTCAATCAGGACAGCGATGGAGTGAACTGATGTGTGGTGAACTGAATTTGAAAACATGTTTGATTGTTGTGATAAACTATTACAATGAATGACGAATTATCAAAGTATCCCAATGGATTGTGGATCAAAAATATGTTTCATGTTGATAGATAACTATTAAAATTATTGCAGTATGATTAAGTATGCCAATGGATTAAAGTTATCCAAAATTGATCGAGGTAAAAGTCTAATCCATCCAGCCCTGATTATACCTGAATGATTTCTGATGGTATGTGCAGCATAGATGGATATTAAATTATGTTTCACTGAATTCTGGGGACAATCAGTTTGCAGGGCAAGTTGGGCAAGGGAAGTCGGTTGAATCTTGCATGATACCAACTTGACGATGATTTTGGATGAATTGAACATTTGAACCAACCACTTTCAGATCCCTCACTAAGGAGCTGTTCAGTGTTCAATCCTTAAACTGGGTAATTTTTATAGGATAGGACAGCCATGTGGAACCACTGGATGTTCCACTGGCCCTGAAGTTTCGTATTTGATCATATTAGATCCATTCATTTGGGGAGCCCAGTAATGGGGGGTGTTTAATATTAGAGGGATGGAACTATATTGATTAAGTTAACCCTCCCCAATATTGATGGGGGCAGATGTGTCACGAAGGATACGGCTGAAAGCAGTAGAACAACCAGCCAATAGCAGCCTTGCTTGAGGCACACATGAAAAAATCAAATCACCATTTAAATCATGACCTTTGGTTTGTACAGGATGGTGACCCCCATTTATAAGTTGGTTTATAAATCCCATTAACTATAGTTATATTTGCCATAAACCATAGTTATGGGAGTTATAAACCAACTTAGCTATCTAGGGGGCCCCACTTTGTTTGTATCAGGGTTTAGCCGTAGAACACACTTCCATGGGTTTGACAACAAAATCATAGTACCTCGAAATCCAATGGCTTAAGGAAAATCATCCCCAGTGGAATTGCCTGGAATTGCTACATATTACGGGCCCATTTAAGATCCGCTTTTTTGGGTGGTTAAATTTCATGAAATGGCTTGGTAAAGCCTCCATTTCTGGACATACCCATTTCACTGTTCTTCCCATTTCGATTCAATCACATTAAGTCACATTTCCGGTGGTTGAATTTCATAAAAGTATGAAGTATACCCCAACATGTTTGTATTCATTGGTTAAAATCCATGTCAAATCCCTAGTTTTGACAGTATATCAGTTAAAGCAAAAAAGGGAGTCGTGTCAGCTCCCAATCAGCAGGATAACACCTGCTTTGTTTGTGGCACCCAAAGTGGCTTCCGCGTGTACAGCACGGAGCGGTTGGGGTAGGTTAGCGGGTTAGCCTTGGTGAATGGGTTTCATCATGGGTGATTTCATGGTGATTTAACGATGAGTTAAGCAACAAGAATGGTGACTTAAGCCACCAAGATGGTGGTATAATAATTGGAATATATATATATATAATTATATATAATTATATATATAATAGACCTGGATGAATTATATATACCATGACGTCACTGGCCGATGTCACTGTAGATTTTCGTGCCATGTGGTAAGGCCAATGCCATAAACCATCCCAAGTCATGGCAGATTTATGGCATCAGTAGGGAGGTGAGATGGTTGATGGATGTGGATGGGGTGGACTATCCATGATGGACTATCCGAACATGGCGTATCGAATCATTGTAGTTTGCCCAGGAATTTGGGGTCAGCTCGTGCCATTCTCATGGGAACCTGAAGGATTTGTTTTGAGGGTACAAAGATTCGCCGTGAACCTAGCCACAAAAGTCTCGGTTTTTTTTACCAGCAACAGTTCAGGGAACAGCCGTTTGGTGGCAACACAATGAGCCTCCCAGGTTTGGCCAACTAGGTGGACTCCTGCTACATGTTATGTTCTTTAAAACAGCTTGCACTCTCGGTATCTTGAAAGTTCACAAAGCGGCTAGGTTTTTTGATACAAATGCGGCTAGTCTTTTTGGGATGACAACATATGACATCTTTGTGTCAAATCGTGTTAAGTCTAGGAATAAGGTACCATTGTGATTTTGGGCTCATTGAGCCAAGAAAGAGCTGGTTGGCAGCCCATCTGGTTACGGTCAGAGTGTGTATGGAGACACGTGGTCCAGAGCCGACCAATCCTGAGCCCACCCCCATATGCCAATGCTCCTCATAGGTAGTATTCACACGTATTTAAACTTCTATAATTAGCTACATTTACAAAACAGACTGCCAAATATAGCCGTAAAATGCCATAAATATACCATCCATGGAGCAAAACAAATATAAACATGTACAAAAATTATAAGATCCATAAATTGACCATGAATATACCTAAAATTAGCTATAAGAAGCTATACGTTGGTTTCGAGCACTCTATAGTACAGCAACGGGGCGCCGCAACATACCTCGGCCCTCAGGATCCTTTCAACCTCACGTTCCGCAGAGAGGTGCGAGTCGGTACTCCCCAAAGTCACCTTCTCTATTGAATTTAAATAACCATAAATAGATATAAATGATATAAATGGCCATTCTTCAGGGATACCCAAACAAATAACCAGAGGGTACTTTGTGTATTTTTTTTGTATTCATCATCATGAATCATCCCTAAACATGGCTTGGGGTGTGCGGTTCAGGAATTGCAACTGCGAAAAATGACCTTTGGTCAGTGGAGTCAGTGGAGTATAAAAGTCCGCAATTCCTGCCGGGGCGCGCCCAGTTCTAAGTTGGCTTAGTTGTAACCCCATCTAACGATAGATACATCCCGCATTAATCCATTTTAATCCTAGTTATAAGTCAACTTACCATTAATCACATATAGATCTAACATGAGCTAACTGTTTGCTGGTCAAAGCACCATTTTTGGTGCCCTCCTTCCTGTGGAGTGATGCCCAAAAATCAGGACGGCGGCGGGTTGGGCGTGGTTTGCATGCTCGCCGGGCAGCCCAGAGATTAGATGGAGCCTATATAGTGTTCCCCGCAAATCCAAAGCACCGCCCCAAAGTTTCCCAAACTATCAGTTAATCATGTGTTGATATGGAGGTTTCCTGAAATAGGAGTACTTCAAAATCATCCCCCAAAATCATCCATCCCAAGATAGGATTCTCCACTGTAAGCCATCCATTTGGGCTTTCCCCATTTGTGGAAACCACCATGTAGCACCATGTATATGTATCACATGAAATGCGAATGTCACATACATATATATTAATAGCATTATATAGCAAACCTACCAAAAAAATAGACAAGTACAGCCCTGTTAAAATGATTATAGAGGAGATGCTTCCGTGTTTTGGGGGAATGTTTGGCATTAATATACGGTTGGTGGTTTTGTCATTTTTAAATACAAGGTGAACCATGTGAAGCCCGTTATAAGTTGGTTTAAAATACCATCAGCATCCCTGTTGGAATTTCCCTTATAATTTGGGAGGGGTCGACCCTCTTATAAATGGTTTATATAGGGACATGTTGTAGTTGCAAGAAGCCCCCTAACCAGGGCATTTTGTAACAGGACACCTAAAAGGCAAAGGTGTACATTTTGAAGTGTTCATTTGGTAAGAGTTTTGAGGGGCCAACTCATTCTATAAGACCATCGAGTTTGTTTGTTTGAGGCTTTTTGTAAGGTCAAGATGCTGTTATTAAACATCAAAAAAACAAAAAAACTCAGCAGGGTGTGCAATGACATTTTGTAAGGAGATGTCGTCAAGAGTAGAAGAACCATTTTGTAAGAATATATTAGTTTTTTAGGCATTGATACAAATTATTGTTCAGATTTGTACATGTTTTTGATTCGGCTCAATCATCAGGAGTTCTGGCAGGCAATGATGCCAAAGAAACAAACATACAAAAAGACAGAAGGTGGCAAAGAAAAGGAATCCTTACAAAAAGGCTGCTTGAAAATCAACGAGACCGGGAGGAAAAGAAGCAGGGAACCAGAAGTTGTTGCCTTACAAAATGATACCCAAAAACGCTATCTGAAATCACAACTTCTTAGAAAAAGGTCATCGAGTAGGATACAACATTCATATCATGAAGAAAGTTGTCACCTTACAAAATGATGCCGGATTTTAGAGTCGAATGTGGGTGCTAAAAACCTATGCTTTTTGTAAGGGCCAAAGTTCCCAAAAACCGATCCGTTTCAAAAAGGATTTCAAAATCCCTCCTTACAAGAAGCCGGGTGCGACCCCTTCCCCCAAATTCGAACCCGGATCCATCAGCCATAGATATATATATATTTACATAATAGAACACAAACCATAGTTATATAATCTAATTATAGATCAACTTAGCTAACTATGGGGCTTCACCTTGTATGTGTTTTGCCTTCACAAAAAAGAAAACCAGCGGTTGATCTCCATATGTTTGGGTATGGCTCAGAATGGTTCTTCCTCGTTTTGGGATGGTTGGATACTAGGCATGAGTCATTCACTGGGTGTCGCACTTGCCCCTACTCAAGGCGGAGGTAGGGGCGAATGTGACCCTAGGGTAGGGGCGAATGTGACCCAACCTCGTTTTGCGTGGCAGGCGCAATAGCTTCAGAGTCTCCAGAGGATCGTTTTCCAGCTGTGACAGTCAGCTACGACGTCTTTTTCAAGTGTTACGTTGTAACATCCATTTCAAGTAACTCCCAAAACGCTGTGGATGCTACGTTGTAACAAGCAACTCCACGACACTCCGGATCCTACACTGTAACATCCATTTGAAGTCAGTTCCAAGACGCTCTGGATGCTACGTTGTAACATCCGCTTGAAGTCACTTCCAAGACTCCCTGGATGCTACGTTGTATCAGCCATGTGAAGCAACTTCCAAGACGCTGTGGATGCAACGTTGTAACATCCATTTCTGGATGTGTTTGATACCCAGTGTGGAAACCAAGGTGTAATGTAATGCACAAGTTTAAAAAAGCAAGTGAACCCGTTCTCCCCTAACCAATGTCTCCAAGTCCCCCCTAAATGTCCCTTGTCCCCAGGGCAAAATGACTTATTCAGTCGAAAGGTAAGCGACCCCGTGCCCCCCCCTAACCAATGTCCCCAAGGGGCGAACGTGACCCCCGTCCCTATCATAGTCGTGGTTACATTTATCTCATTATTATTGTTATACCCCCGATACCCATGTTTTTTGCTTGGACAACTGGGTGAGCAACAAATGATTTTTTTCCCATACTTTTCCTCACTAGAGTTGCAATTTCGTATGTTCATGAGTCAAGGTCTACCAAGATCAGATTGCCGCCTTTTCCAGTGTATGCCCAGACAACCAAAGAGCCCAAAGGTCTCCTGGATGGCTTGTGCCCTTCGCTATTCCCATTCGAAGGATTTCCATCACAGAAAGTCTTTGGTGACAGAAACCAGTTGAACTGGGTGCTTGGCCAAAGGGTGCTGGTGATCCTGACCTTCCTGTGGACAAGATCGAATCGGAATTGCGAGAAGCATTCAAATCCGGACGTGCACCGCCAATCCAGGGCAAGACAGGGTCTGGCAAGTCATACTCCGTTATGATTAAACAGTCAATGTGAACAATTGATGGCCACAAATGGTGATTACCCATGCACAGATGTGTTATCTTCACACCCTACCAATAACCCTGGTGATCGTAAGTCCCTATTTTGTATTGTTTGGCCTATCCCGCAAATATATATATATATATAACTCTCCCTATGGATCCAGCCGTACCTTCTGAGCAGGTATTAATGCTATGATTTGAAAGGTTAAGTATGTTCTCAGGAAGTATTTGGATCCATAGGGTACAAGCTGGTGTCTCCCAGTTTGAGTTGGTTTATAAACCACAGCAACCGAATAATATATATTTATATACAATATACACCATCATAAACCCTAGTTATTGGAGTTATACACCAAGTTAGCTAACGAAGGCACCACCTTGTGTGGTAACCAGCTATCATCTACGATGATCCGACGCACGCCCGACTTCCGCGCCCAGTTCCGCACGAACATCTTAGCCTTCACGGGAGGTGGTGAAAACCCACGCTTTCAGCCGCAGAACGCAGCTCGGTTTGAGTCGAGGAATTGGGGACATCGTGGGTTGAGAGGCCATGGAACGTTAGTTGATAAGCAAATCGATTACAAGTCAGGATCTAGATTTACAATAGGGGCCTTTATGAAATAAATTATATATATTAGCGAATTTCGGCCATGGCCCATCTAAGTATAGTACTGCAATGTTTTACACCACTGGTGATATTTTCGAAACTATTGGATTAGCCATCAGAAGGTTGTTCTGATGGTAAAGTGGGTTATAACTTATTTGGGTGTGATTGACAATGGAGTAGTCCACCCAAGATGATATCCATTTACTGTAGCCATTTACTCAGGAAAGATATTGTAGCAAATTTCAAACACATGAAATTTTGTGCGGAATCCATGGTGAAATAACATGTTTGTGTTTGGGAATAGCTCAAGGTGCGTCAAGCATTGAATCCTGTCCATTTTCATCCAATCCAATAGGCGTTGAGTTGCCTTTGCTAGAAAAATCGGGAACCCCAAACAATCACTCTCTGATTGTAATCTTTCTTGGAACCATTTTTGGACAAACCATAATGTTGTTTTTAGTGTCATACATATTCATACATATGTTATGATGATCCCAACTTCTGTAAAGTGTTTTTTGATTTTTTTTTGGTGTTTTGGGGTGGCTGAGACCGCCAAATTCATTCATGAGCTTTTATCTAGGCCCCAGCGGTGCACAGATGGGCTGGTCATTTCTCTGGTTTTAGGGATACAATCCAAAAAATATAGACATGTATTTCCAAGATGGTAGTTCGATGATGTCTTAGTCATAATTGGAATCGGATTCCAAGTTTTTTCCTTTTGGTGCTATAGTGAATATGGATCCATTCATATGGAAACCCAAAGGGAACGGATCCACCGAAAAAACAAAGCAAGGTTCATTGTGGGAAGGGATTGGTTTCCTGCTATACGCAGCCATAGTAATTGGGATGCGTGCAACATGTTTGCAACCTCGTTCTTTTCCTTGTTTGCTGGGACCATTGCTGAACATGTGGGGGATGGGGGCTGCTGGAATCCGCTCGGCGTTTGGGTAGCCACGGTCCCAGCAAAGTGCAGCTTGCGCACTTACAATGTGAACTCCAGAACTAGAACTGTGGTATCTCTTCTGCCACACTTGCCCCAGGTGCGACAGGAAAGCAAAAGCTCCAGTCAAAGAGAACAACTTGGACCTGGGTGAGGTTCACAAGAACCGTGAATTCCCCAGGGCGTATCTCTGCTGGTTGTGCGTTCCAGACAGCACCCTGCCGAACAAGCGGACGGCCCACGGTGCTTTGAGGGGATGCTGAGCCAGCTCCAGCCCAGGTGAACCAGCTACTATATTGTACCAAATTAATTCGCTATTTTTCCCAGGTGTTTCCCCCAGTTCCTCAGGTTTTCCTCAGTTGTTTTCCAATTTTCACCAGTTCTCCCCCGGTTTCCACCAGGTGTTCAAGGATCCTTGCGTCCTTTTCCCCCTTGGATCCTGGCGGAGTGTTTTGACGCCCAGGTGGTGATCTGGGACGACCGCAACACGCGGATCATGGCGGAGCTGCGCTTCAAGAGCGCGGTGCGGTCGGTGCAGCGGGACGCGCCCAGGGGGTGTGGACTGGGAAGGTGGGAGTTCGGCCAGTATAGATATTATCACTAGATCAATAACATATGGAATAGTGGGGTGATTAGATCAGACCTAGGTTTCATATATTTTCATATGAAATTTATCTGGTGATATTCCAATGATCCCGTTGGACCAAGAGTTGGGCATTTCCGATTTCAACTAAGGCGCAAACTAACTAAGGGGAATTGGAGCGATAAACATGAGAATGTCGATTTCATCCATAGAAATTGGAACATTGGGATTTCATACTCTAAGCACATGAGATTGTAACCCAGAAGAATGTGGATCTTGCTATTACTTACCTGGGCTTGGAGGCATGTTGTGTGTTTTTTTTGTTTTTGGTGCTGTAAAAGAATGTATGTCTAAAAAAATATCGTTGGCCATTCCATCTAATTTGATCTAATTTGGAATTTGTGATTTCGTCTAGTTTACCCTTGAATGTTCAGAAATCGTGATTGATTTGTGAATTTGAATGAATTGAATCAAACGAAATGGGGACAACAATACAATAGGTTTGTCCAGGCATGGGTCTTTATCCTAACTGGGCACGGGACTCCGAATAATGATGCTTCTGTTGGGTGGTTTGTTATTTTATGATATTTCAAGACACACTCAAGCGCTTAACCTGGGCATAGTCCAAAAAACTATTCAAACATAACTGGTTGGTTGTTTGGAACATGTTCTTTTTTCCCCATCATATTGGGAATTTCATCATCCCAACTGACGAACTCCATCATTTTTCAGAGAGGTAGGTCAACCACCAACCAGATTATTATTAACCATCATTAACCATATTATTAACCACTAACCACCATTATTATTATTGGGGTAGGTATACCACCAACCAGTTGGAAAGATGGTGACAAGCGACTCAAACTTGGTGGAGCAGCCGCCAAAACCATCTGGGTCAACTTATCGGTGGCGTTGATGGAGCAAGTTGGCCACCTTGTTTTGCGCTGGAGGGGATGGTTATTTGACAGCAGCTTATGGTTAATATGTTTATGGTTAATATTAATTGTTAATATATGGTTAATATATGGTTAATCTATGGTTAATATATGGTTATTTGATGATTTTTGATGATTTGATGAGTGACCAAACATGACCAAAGCCCCCGTGTCCCCTAGTTGGTTGATGAAAAAAAAACGCGTTACTATTCTTTGGATAGGGGCTATCATAATCCATGAGATTGGAAACCTTATCAACCAACCAGTAAAGGAACTAAATCGGCATCCCCCTTATTTGGGTTTGCGTGAACATAGGGTACCCCATTCCATCCATTGGTTAATGATCATATGATTGGTTATATAATGTTATATAAATGTATATATATAATAATAATAATAATTAATAATTAATAATAATAATAATTAATAATAATAATACATTAACCTATCATATGTATACAACCAGTCATGTACATCTATTGGTTGATGATCATATCGCATATTCCCAATATTCAACATCGTTAGGGTCATATACTCTCATATAATCTGCAATGAACATGAAATATATACAAAAAACAACAACAATACACTCACCAATAATTTATATCCATTGGGTTCCATTGGCTTATGATCATATATATATAGTATTTTCCCATGACAATTCACCATAGAAACCGGATTTTTTTCTTCAACGCCGAGGTTCCGACGGGACTTGGTGGTGGTTGCCACCAGCAACAAGGCGACCTGGAGAACACTGGGGGTTTCCATAGCTATGGTACAATAGCTGGATTTCAGGGAAAAAAACGTTTAAAAATGGAGGAGAAAACTGGGTGTACCCCCCATTTTAGGAAAGATCCAAATATAGAAAATAGGCCCTAAATGTGTTGTACGTGAATGGTTATTTGCATATGGGTATGTTCACTGTGCGGGGTCAAAACATAACCCCCTCGAAAAGCATCAAACCCATGTAACATTATGGTGATTTTATCTGAGTAGCTGTTTGAATTAATGTTTATCGATCCAGTTGACTGATGTTTATTATATATTTTATTGATATGATATAGATGACTTACTGGTGCTAAACGCAGGGAATTTTCGGGAATGATCCACTGGCTAACTATCAATCCCAGCAACCCCCAGCAACCCCCAGCAACCCATCCAGCAACCCTACGTAAAACGCACCAGTAAGCGAACAGTGGAGAATGATCATTGAAGAATTCTGAAAAGCTCCTCCAAGGCCGAATTCGCCCAAGATGGGATTAATCGTACATCAAAAGTTGGTCCATTTGGTCAACCCTCTGGTGGTGTCAAATGGTGGTTTTTCAATGTTTTTCATGGGGTAAAAAACCAACAAAAATGGTGATTTTATTGGGATTTAACCAACAAAAATAGTGATTTAATGGGATTTACCCTCTGGTAATTTGTCAAAATAGCTATTGAACATGGCCCATAGAAATAGTTGATTTACCGTTCTTAAAGATGATGGATCTTTCCATCGCTTTTTGTATCTTTACCAGAGGGTAGAAAAAAAAATGCCCCAAGATCATCCGACCAAAATCTGATAAAATCTGTACCTTCCTACCCTTCCCTTCCTTGTACCACTACCTTTATCTATTCCAATCCCCAAGTGGTGCCATGGCCACGCTGAGGTCTGGGTCTACAGTTTCAAGACCTTGAGTTTGTTACATTCCATCGAGACCAGTGACAACCCCAAAGGCGCGGCTCATTCCCTCAGTTTTTTTAAGGGAAACCACTTTGAGGTCATGATAATCCAAACTATATATATATATATACATATATATACACTATATATGGCTTACTATACATTACATATAGACTATAGATATATTATAGATCTGGGTAAATTTCATCAGGACCTCACGTCGCGACCTCACTAGAATCATGGTTAATAAGGGGAAACATTCCCAAGATAGCCTTCTCTCAGGTTAGTGAATTGATTATTGTAATTTGCCAAGATCGATAGATATAGACCATATAGCAGCTTATTTGGACCTTGGTAATCCTTGGTACAAGGACCTTCTCAGATCATTTTCAGAGTCTCTGACTTGGTTCGCTTGTCGCATTGCTGTGGAAATGACGCGAAACATGCATACGTAACTTAGCTAGCCAGGCAATAAAGTTTTAGAAGAAACGAGGCACAATGCACTCAGATTGGTGTCGTTTTTTTTTCCCTTTAACACCTACTGGATGAGAGAGCCAGACTAGCATACAGACTTCCTTGCGAAGGAGTTTGTACTTAAAATGCTGCCAGGGATTTTTATTGATAGGATGGAGAAACACAAGTTGCCAGTGATGGTTTGATGATTTCATGGTTTGAAGGTTGTGGAGGTGTGGATTGTGTTCTGGTGCGGTTGACGCTGTTGGTGCTGTTGGTGCCGTTTCTGCTGCTCCTGCTGCTGCTGCTGCTGCTGCTGTTGGTGTTGTTGTCGTTGTTGTTCTTCTTTTTATTCTTATTGATCTTCCTGTTCTTAATCTTGTTCTTGTTGTCGGTGGTTACTTGGAAGTAGCAACATTTTGCCATAAATAACAGCTTGGAAACGAAGCTTGACAGTGAGGGTTGAGTCTCTCCATAGTTCTACTTGGGAAAACTGGGAGGGCATCCCCCTGTTATGGATACACCCAGCTCCAGTCTTCAAGGCCCAAAGCTTTACTCGGACGCATTTTTTCGGTGATGGTTTCAGAGTTTTGTTACTTTCACTCGTTTATGCTTGATGGTCTGAATCCACAAACCAGCAAATTTGGAAGCTCACCTTTACTAAGAGGAGTTTCTTCACACATCTTAAACTCATCTGAGCTGGCTCGGAGTCATTACTAAGGCTACTAAGCTACTGAAGAATTGGATGGTTGGTATTGAAACTAGGGTTATTTGAATATGAGGGATACATACAATGTGAGGTCCCCAAGATAGCTAAGTTGGTTTATAACTCCAATAACTATGGTTTATGGTAGTTATAACTCTAGTTACTGGGGCTTATAAACCAACTTAGAACTGGGGGGCCTCACATTGTAAATTTTGTTTTTTGGAGTATCCGCCTTTTTGAAACCGAAATTACTTGGGTCTTACCATAGATGTCCATTTTTTCAAGAAGGGTCACCTATCCATGTTTATTTTATGTTAGTTTGATGCCCCTAATATCCAATGGTTCATATTTCATGACAGACCGAACTGACCTTAAGTTCGTGGTTTCCCTGGCCATTCACTTTGATGGATGTCTTACCTATCAAAATCCTAATTCCTTTGGGATACAATTCCATTCTGACAGGATCATTGGAGTTCCTTTCATAACAAACCCATGCTATTGGTCTTAAAACATGCGAAGAGAAGATGATTGGATCACCATGGATTATATATTTATATTGTAGTTTATTAGTTCATATGTATATGTATATAATTATTCATTATTATATTATATTGAGCCTTTATAAACGTTGTTGTTGGTGGTGAGTGAACCCATACAGCCAGCTGTGCCACGGCTCAGCGTCAGGTCTCTGCTGTCTTTCCACGGGTGAGCGGGTGCTGCTGCTTTGCCCTGGCATGCAAAAGGCGGCTTTCAGCGAGAGCTGACGTGACCCCAGAAGGTGGATGTGGGTGAAACAATCATCGAATCCCCAATTATTAGAATCACCTAGTCATCACCATTGATAGATAGGTGGTATATATATAAATATCCTTTTTTTTTTTCGGTGGTATATATGTATTAATATGATTTAATATGTATTAATATAAACCATTCCCAGGAATTAATCTGTGCTACACATGGATTTTTCACCATGGGGGGGATCAATGGATCAATGGATCAATGCTGACATGGCGTGGCGGAAGAAACATGTAAAAAACCAAGGTGGTGCCCGATGAATGGGGGTTATATCGGTTATATCTATAGTTTTCATGGGGAAAATTAAACCACACATAACTGGGGGGGATAAATAACCTTGTAAATAAGATTATACCTCACACAGACTCTGGCTTAGAATTTGCTTAGCCAGTGGCATATCGGCAAGTGAACATAAGTGAACTATGAGTCAAATCGGCTTCAACAATAGAGATGGCTTGCAGATGCCTTAATAATTTTGCGACGTCCAGGATTAGTAGGTGCATACCAGCTGTTGTTGTTTTTTTGCGACTTCACTGGAATGATGTTTAGTAGAGGTAACTATCCAAAAAAAAAAACATACTGTGACTCCAGATATCTCCAGATAGTTGGTGAATGATGATCATCATTGATAAACTATAATGACTATAAAAACTCTTGTCGGTGACAATTACTGGTTGATGGTTTGGAACATGTTTATTTTCCCCAATAGGAACAGGATGATGATCCAATCTGACGAACTCATATTTTTCAGAGGGTTTGACACCACCAATTAGATGATACTTGGGTTATATCATCAAGTAGAGAAACCAGAAACCGAAGGTCAACTATCATCAAAATCCTATAAACCATGATTACTATCAACCATGATGTCACCAACCAGGATTTTCATTAACCATCATTAACCATACTATATATTAACCATCATTAACCATTATTATTATTGATGTTAGCTTGGTGAACTATTATCATCTACCAAGCGGCTTACCCGATCTAACCGGCGTCCTGGGATCGTCCCGAGTTTTTTTTTTCAAAATCCGGCCGTGACTGGATTATGACTGACTGAGTCAGACGTCACATGTTTCAAGTTTTGGTTGCTGAAATATGGGTATGGATCAATACCTATTAATACCATTTTTAGAGGGATGAACATCCATTTACCAGCTATTTTGATGTTCACCAGGGGTACAAGGTTTTGACACACTGCCACATCTACTAGTTGGTGGTTTGGAACATGATTTTTTTTGACTTTCCATATCTTGGGAATGTCATCATCCCAACTGACTTTCACTCCATCATTTTTCAGAGGGATTGAAACCACCAACCAGTCTATTTCGCAACCTTCAACATTCCATTTTGCTACTTAAGATCATCTCTTTTTGAAACCTAGACTTAGGCGAATTTGATTCAAGTTGCGACCTCTAGAATAGTTAAATGTAATCTGGCGTTTTCTGGGGATGTACCGTGATGCACACATTAAATCCAAAAACATGTTGGTTTGGTTAGCCCTTCCAATTAGGGTTGTAGCTGCAAACATCAGAAGCCAGCTTCCCCATCGAAAATCGTCCTTTTTGGGGGGTTCCATTTTTAGACACACCCAAATATCATATTATTGGGCGCATATCTCGGTATATTCTCATGAAAATCTGTTACAGCTTATTAAGACACATCAAAATCCAGTCAAGATGATAATTAAAATTGACTGTAAAAGTAACTAAAATTAATCCATCAAAATGAGTCTGTTAAAATTTAATGAACTTCACATCCATCGGTCCATCAACTAAAGATGGTCATGACCAAAGCCCGGAAAGTGGCGTGCAGGGCAGCGTGCTGGCCACCTTCTATCCCACTGGCTTTGGCGATCCAGCAGTCCCATGGCGGAGCCATGGGGTCTGGGTAATTTCATCACGACCTCACGTCGCGACCGAGCCCTGGAATCATTGTTTTTATAGGGAAATCATCCCCATTCATGGCCGCAAAGTTCAGGTTGGTAAATTATCCTAATTTACCCAGATGGGGTGATTTTGATGGCCTTGATTGCCATGGATGATGGGAAAACATGGAAAAATCCACGATTTCAATGGAGGTTAAATGAGAATCATCATGGATGAGCCAACAGAAATGCTAGTTTTTGAGGAAGATATACAAAAATAATGGGATTTAATTTAATGGGACAATATTGAGGATTATCTAATATCAATGGCTATATAATCAATGGTTATCATCAATATTTCATATCAATGGTTATTGTTAACGGTTTGTAGTTTGATCAATGTTTCTACAATCAATGGATATCAATGGTTCTATAATACACTATTTGCTGGTTTGATTTTGATCATTGCTACTACATCACTGGTCAACCATCATTAATGTGTTTTTGATCATCAGTCAATGTGTATATTTGTCAATAGTACATTATAGCATTTTGATAATCTAATTCTGATCATCAAGGGTCAATGGTACAACACAACACTGTAATGAACTACAATACTAGCATACTACAATCCAACGCTAATAACCATTAACAATAGCCATCAACAATAGCATACTACAATCAATGGTAATCGTAATGGTTCTAACTCTACTAGTAATATATTAATTAATATACATATATATATATATCAATAGTACCCTATAATATCCATTCAATAATTACTAGTTTACTACAACCATTAACCATTAACCATTAACAATAACCATTGATATGAAATATTGATAATAGCCATTGATTATATAACCATTGATATCAGATAACCCTCAATATTATCCCATTAAGTCCCATGATAAGTATTATATATATATATCAATAGTAACCCTTCAATAACCATTCAGTAATTACTAGTTTACTATATGTTTGAATGGTTAATATAGGTCATGGTTATTATACATAGTAATGGCCTATGTTTTTTTAATGGTTATACGCTGTTTGATCCATCGTTGATCGTTGCACACAAGGCACCTCATGATGGGTAATTATACGTCCAGAATTTGGTGAACGTTCCTCAGGGAGGGTTCAATGGGGATTTTTATGGGATTGTATGGGATTGTAATGGATTATATGGATTATTATTGGATTATTTGGGGTTATATGGGATTTTTTGGTATTATATGGTTATATCCTTTGGTAAACGTTTACATAACTATCGAAAAGCACAATTCTTCATGGCTAAATCCACTAATGTCATGTTACCATTGGCTAATTGACACTTTGGCATTGTATAAATTTACCATTCCTAAAAATGGTGAGTGTATCCATGTTGCTGTGGGGATATGATGGATAAACATGTTAACTAACTGGGGATAGGTATAGCATGGCCCACCAAGATGGAGAGACCAACCTAGATTGGGATAGAATATAATTGGAATGTTTTATCGAATATAATATTTCATGTTTTATGTAAAAGCATAGGATAGAATGAGATTTGTCATACCAACATTCCATCGTTTTTTTTGTTCATATCTGGCCCTTTAAGACAGCCATAACATTTCCAGGAAAGATTGGGTATCCCCAATCACCAACAATATTGTTTTGGTGTGTCTGAAAATGACATGTACACTCTCAAAATTGCAGCTTGAATTGCGAAGATTATTATACTCTAATTCAGTAAAGCCAAATTTATGATGGAAAATTTCACGCCTATTGCCAATTGCCCAACATTTTCTCAACAATAAACATGCGGATATTGCGCAGGTTGTATGCAGAGATTGTTGTCTTGTAATCATGTTTTACCATTTTGTGGCTGGTACAAAAACATATATACTTTTTGTTTACCTTGATTGGTACCTTTGGTTGGTACACGCCAGTAATCTTAGCAATTGCCATGTTTCTATCCATTGGTACCATGAGTAAAGGGTAACAAATATTGGAGGAATTATTCCAGTTCAGCCAGAACATGAACTGGCTGAGAATGGCGATTTCTGAGGGTAAAAACATCTATTGAAGAATATGTATATAGTTTTTGGTGTATTGTCCATTGTCTCTTGCCAGATTAGGCCAGGTTAGATTAGCAGAGGCGTATGCCTTAGGTGATCCACCCAACAGGCCATGTGACGATGATATCGGCGGTGACCCTACATAAAATGGCAATGCACATTGGTAAACATACCACAATGATCCACAACTTTTGGTACGCTACCTGGAAGACAAATATTACGGAGTAGAACAACATCATTCAAAGTGCTCGGTTGGGAACATTTGGTGTTCAAAAACACCCCCACAGTTCTCAGTTGGTTTATAAACCCGTTCAACATCCACTTCTACTAAGTATGGTTATATCCTCCATAAAGGCTACTTGGTGGTTCATCCCACTAAAAACATGTGGCTTAGTTCAACCAAGGTATTTTTGGTTCACCCCAGTTATAAGTAGGATAAGTATCTGCTCGGTGGTTTGGAACATTTGGATTATTTTTCCCATTATATTGGGAATGTCATCATCCCAACTGACGAACTCCATCATTTTTCAGAGGGGTAGGTTGAAACCACCAACCAGCCCTATGGATCCAAACAATGTCTGAGAAGGTACTTAACCCTCCAAATTATAGTAAATAAATTATACCCCAAACACTTCCTAAGAAGGTACTTGGATCCATAGGGCAGATAGGTACAGTTCATCCCCTTAATCCCCTGGGGTGTTTCGGATGAAGCACCGGCTCGGACTCTGTTCCTTCGGAGCGTCTGTTAGGCCTCGGTGGAGAAAGAAGGCTCCCAGATCATCAGCGCGCACGACATCCGTGGGGCCGTGGGGGGTATCCCATGAGTTGAGCTGATCTCCAAAGATATGAGTTGAGTGTTGGGATGATAATTTGGGATGATATGTTTTCCATTTGGGATTTTTAGAAAATCCAAAAATGCCCAAAAAAAAGTTGTTTTTTATCTTGGCTACTGACTCGATTTCCATGTTCTAGGACAGGGGAAGGGATTACTTCAAGCACTGGGGATTCTGGAGCGTGAAGCTGGGCCACATGGCTCCGTGGGTCGAAAGGTCGGGTATCAGCAACACTTGGGTGCCGCAACTTTTTGACCGCATCAGCATAGTCATGACTGGTTGGTGGTTTCAATCATGGCTGATATTTTCCATTTCATATATGGGATAATCCTTCCCATTGACTTTCATATTTTTCAAGATGGTTGAAACCACCAACCAGATGAGTTTGAGTAATGATTGTTAGGTAATGTTCGTTGAACCATGTTGAACCCCTATTCACCCAAGAAAAGATGAACATCAAACAGTTCTGCCAATAATTCGTGCTGGCAAAAACAAACACATGAGGAGGTCCACATTGGATGCATGTTGGGGATTCTCTTCAGTCCTTGGTGAACATCGAACATGAATAACAACTACTGTAAAACTTTAAGCGTTTGTCTGAAAATTGGATCGATCCGTTTATCTCTGTTACGCTTATTACCCTCTGGTAAACTAACATAGCTATGGAAAATCACCATTTTTAATTGGTAAATCAACTATAAATGGTCATTTTCAATAGCTATGTTAAATTACCAGAGGGTATCAGATCTTCAGTGTGATTGGTCTTGAATTTATTTTTTGATCCGCTTCTGAATTTCCAAAGTTGATCCCACACCTCAACCCAAAAATCAAAAAAAAGAATCATGTTGGCTATATGTATCCCACTATATTATCTGGCTGGTGGTTTCAAACATGGCTTTTATTTTTCCATATCTTGGGAATGTCATCATCCCAACTCCCAACTGGCTAATATTTTTTTAGATGGGGTAGGTATACCACCAACCAGATATTTATTAACCATCATGAACACCATCATCATAACCATTCATATTAACCATATATTAACAGTATATTACCAACCAATAGTTTAAATCCCCATTCTGAATGGTTTTTAGCCCCCACTGATTTACCTTGCTTTGTTTAAGGTGTTTTTTTCCCGGAAGGGAAGAGCGGTTGAGCAGGATTCACCCGTGGCTGCCATGGCGCTGGACTCGAACTGCAGGGGCCCCAGGAAAAAACAGTGGAGTTAACCAGTGAACATCGGTGTATACACACATATATACATATATACAATGTGAGGGCCCCCAGTGATGTTTGTTGGTGTTTAAACCCCAGTAACTATAGTTATAAGTACCATAAACCATAGTTATGCCATAGTTATTGGAGTTATTTTCACCAAGTTAGCTATCTTGGGGGCCTCACATTGTATATAATTACATACACACACATATATTAATGTTATACAACGAAACCAACCAGCATCGGGGATATAAATCAAGCATTAAACATTGGGGTTTTGAGCAGCAACCATGGAGTTCTAACGATCAAACATGGGATATTGCCCTTTCTCAACATATGCAGGTCGGCATTTCAGGAACTTGGAAGCGCTGGGAAGCACAGGGTTTGGTTACTTATTGCATCTGTTCGTATCTTTTAGTACTAGTAGGTACTAGTACTCAGGTTTAACAACAGTCTATCTGATACCTGTCTATCTATCATTATTTCATATGTTTTCCAAATGTTTGTTTTTTGGTCTGTCATCTATCTACCTACCTATCAATCAATCAATCAATCTAATCTAATCTTAATCTAATCCAATCCTATCCGATCCTATCCTATCTATCTATCTATCCAAATAAATCTATCTATCTTTCTAAATAAATCTGTCTATCTATCTATCTAATCTATCTATCTATCTATCTATCTATCTATTTATCTATCTATCTATCTATCTATCTACCGATCTATCGATCGATCGATCGATCGATCTATCTATCTATCTATCTATCTAAATCTGTCTAAATCTATCTAAATCTGTATATCTATTTTATCTAATCTAATCAAATCTAATCAAATCTAATCTAATCTAATCTATCTCTCTATCTCTCTATCTCTTTATCTCTCTACCTCTCTATCTCTCTATCTCTCAATCTATCTAATGTAATCTAATCTAAATCTAATCTGATCTGATCTTATCTAATCTAATCTAATCTAACCTAATCTAATCTATTCTATCTATCTACCAACCAACTATCTATCTCTCTCTATCTATTGATCAATGTCGCCAGTTGCTCGATTTGAATGCCGATGCCGCTGGTGTTGGCATTGTGAATCAGCTGTACTATGTTCCTCGAGCTGTGGCGCTACGTCCTTGCTGCCTCTTCCAATGAGGAGTTCCAGGAGTATTCACGCTCTGAGGAGGCCTCTGATCAAAAACCGCTGAAGGCGAAGCTGACTTTGGAATTGAGTCGGACCTGAGAAATCTGTGAACGCTCTCCAGTGGCCTACTTTTGCTCGTGCATTCTTTCTATTTGAGCTTGACTTGAAGAGACATCTGTCTGCCTGTTTGCCTGTCTATTTGTCTATCTGTCTATTTGTCTATCTATTGCCAATTTATCTATCTTATATATGGTATCTATCGTATGATTTTTACCCGTCTCAGTGGTCTTATCAATCTTATCATACGTATCTATATTTCCCTCTTATATGTTTTATCTACCTTTTATATCTTACATAGTTCATCTTTCTTGATTACCTTTTATATTTGATACTAGTTCTATCTTATCTACCATTTCTATCTCATCTACATGGCTTATGTCAATATGTATATTATATGTTTTATCTATATTAGCTATCTCATCTATCTTTTATTCCTGATCTAGATGATCTGCAGTATCTATATTGTATTGTTTTATCTCATCTATCTAATCTATTTTATCTACCATATAATGATCTATCTTATCTATCTCATTTATCCCATCAATCTCATCTACCTTACATATATTTTCTATATTATATGTCTTTTGAATCTTGTTTATCTTGCCAATCTCAGCTTTGCTTTATATCTCTTCTATTCTGATCTAGTCTTGTCTCATCTATCTAATCTGTTCTGTTCTAATCTATTCTAGTCTGTCCTATTTAAAACTAGTCTAGTTTAATCATTAATCCAATCTAATCACTGTGAATTGATCTTTCTACCCATACATTATACATATGGCTTGAAGGCCTAGGAAAAGCAAGCAAATTAGTTTGGTGACCATGCATGATTTCAACCTGCAATCAAACAGTTTAGCCGATGTACCGGGACGATTTTTCTAGCTGTGTGATGAATAGTCGTACTGTAATTCTTCATAGGTTTCCCGACTGATATTGTAATGTTGGTACATGGTTTGATATCATTATTGATTATTGATGTCATTGTTTGTGTTTTGTTTTTCCATTAATCAACTTCCCAGCTTGTATATTTAAATTATTTAACTAATGTTATAATTGACGCATGAACGATATTGATCAATCAAAAACGTGACACGAATCATCAGCGGGTACAATCCCTGCCATGGACATTTGGACGATGCCGCTGGTTCCCTTCAGCAGAGCCTGCCATGTGTTGATTCTTGAGGTCGTCCTCAGCAACATGTTGATCATGCTTGGTGGTTCATCCCACTTACTAAGTAGGTTATAACCCTGGTTATAAATGGGCTAAATAGGGTTACTCCACTTGTAACTAGGATTATAACCGACTTACTAACTGGGATGAACCATGTTGATCATGGAACAAAGATATTGTCTCACAAGAAACAAAGTCTATGATGACCATTCAGGATGACCTGCCGGAAAAAAAAAACATGTTCAAAATATGGAGTTGTCCTGAAATAGGGGGATACTAGATCATCCATTTGAATAGATAAACCAACTATTTTGGGGATCCCCCATTTATGGAAACCTCCATATCGATTGGTGATTGGTTGTATGTCCTTCTTTTGACAAGTGCAGACCGCAGACCCTGGTGACTTGTTGATTGGAGGACTGATTTGCCTTTGCAAAAACGAAACACGTCATCAAATGTCATCAAGGGTTATCACATGGCGAGACATTAAAGAAAGAGGATACAAACAAAAGATGAATAGGACATGTGAACCTAGAAGCGGAGAATATCATGATATGTTCATCCCTCTTAAAAGCGCCACTGATAGGTGTCGCTTTCCCGCTGGTTGGTTGCTGAATCGAAAGGAAACCAACCATCAGATCGTGAAAGCAGTATGGTACCAAATCGCCTTCTAGTTTTTGCGAAAACATGGGCATCATATGAAACATGGAAAAATATATATAGCATGTATATAGTATCATCCTGGAAGAGATAGAATATGGATGTTTCAATATGTTTCCCGTTTCCATGTTTTTTTGTGGGTGTGAACATGTCATAGTCTATCTACTCCAGGATGATTATGATCATATCTCAAATAATGTGAAGTAATATGCAGCAATTTTTTTGTACAACAAAAATATGCAACCAGATGTGGCAAAACCAGATGTGGCAAAACTGCCATAAACCACCTCCAAGTCACCATTTGTAGAGGTTTCCAATCCATGGGGGTACCCGGGTACCTCTACCCCAAGGCTCGATGATCGCCACGGCTTCGGAGAAGGGTACCATCGTTCGAGTCTACGACGCTTGGTGAAGAGCCGTGACCCGTTCTATGGGGGTGTTTTTTAACACCCCCCGAAAAAAAGGAACGTGATCTACTTTCAGTCTAAACGTCTACCGGAGATGAATCGTGAAAACATGGAGATCATTGTGACTTCGTTGTGAGATCACCAACAAAATACGGGATGTTACCATCACAAATTGGTGTAAGCACTGAGAAATGGGTGATTGAACCAGCAATTCATGTGGGGCATGAATCGGGCAGGAAGTAAATATAAGATGATACAAGGGAAACCAGCTGGCTGGGTAGTTTAGTACTTTTATTTCTTGTTCTAAAGGGTGGCAGAAGAAAACAGGGTATCTAGTATCTATATATAAGATTGGCCATTTTATCATGGCATCACTTCTCCTAATGAACCCTCCCCCCGCTTTGAAGAAAAGAGCACGAAGGAGCACGGTGACCTGTCTTACATATCGCTTCGTTTGAAAATATGATAGACTAAAACTCACTGGTTAAGCACAATGTTCCCCATGAAACGCCGATTTTATTGCTGGTGGTTTGGAACATTTGGATATTTTCCCATCATATTGGGAATGTCATCATCCCAACTGACTCATATTTTTCAGAGGGGTAGGTATACCACCAACCAGATTAAGTTGAATGCCCCATTTTCAGACACACCCATATATTCCCAACGCGGTTCAAACCAGCGCAAATGTCCTTCAACTTATGCATCCCGGGCAGCAAGTTTACGTCGGTGAAAAGAGCAGATCAAGGCACGTATTACGTTGAACGCCATGAAATTCATGTAATATTCCCAGTGATAATGTTCGCCACATATGTATAGGTATATAATGGTATATACCACATATAAATATCAAACAATATGATATCAGATTTGATATGTTACATGTATACATTTATATATATATATATATATATAATTGTACATATTATAACATTTGGGTTGTCTTCAACTAATGTAGATGATACTTACAGAACCATTTACAGAACTGCCTGGACTGCAGTAGCAGAGACCCTCAGGAGATTCAAGGCAATGGGAAGCCTAAGAAGGTTCGGGGGACTCAGATGCGATGGGAGAACCCTGGCCCGGCTAGGGGAAACCCTGTACTTGGGAGAAAAAATCAGGGTTTCAACCGTAGATTCATGGGATATTTAAAGCCAAATACCAGGGTGTCCTGAGGATGGACCAAGGATACCTCAAAATTGTTCTAGTTTTAGGCATTCGTTGGATTGATATAAGGGAAAAACTAGAGAAAACCCTTTATTTGGAGGAAAAAACGATGGTTTCCTGTCTTCAAACCAATCCCTTGAAACCTGTTGCTGGGGTCGTGTGTTTGACTCTGGTTGTAAGATATTGCACGCTCCAACCAGCTTGAATCTTTGTTGGTGGCTTTAATTTTGTTGTGTGGGGATGACGGGAACATGGCGGAACCACAACTTAGCAGTTTGGACTCGCAGTTTGTTTCTTTGGAGTTTTCAATGTGATTGGTTTTTCCATGAGGTCATGAGGTATGTGTATATGCTTAGTGATGCAGGCAATGCTTTCAATGTTTTCAGACACTAAGAGACAGATGTTGGATCCCGATGGTTCAGCTATGGACAATCTCTAGGACACCGTGTTGACGCCACAGGCTTTGAAATTCAGAGTTGTCCAACATCTTGTGGCTGGCTTCTCTCTCACTTTATCCCTGCGTGATCTCTACATGTTTTTGTTTTTTTTTTTCTGCTCAGAGGTCACAATGTTTTTTGTTATCCTGTAACATATAATTCAGTACGATTTAATTTAATCACATGGTTTCAATATTTCATTCCAGAAGAAGGGACTCTTAGGATATATGCCCCCATAGATCACAGTCTAGAGTCCATTTTGGATCATATAGCATTGTTTCCATTAACCATATAATTAACCATATAATATTAACCATATATTAACCATTATTAACAGTATATTAACCACAATGGTTGGTTGAAACCACCGACCAGCCAATGTCGGGCTTAGATAGAATGGACTCACAGCCAGGTTTCTTCTTGACGGTAGTCAGTTGTTCGGAGCGTACTCCCACTTTTCAAGTTTGTTGCATCAGTTGAAGTCGGGTTAACATGGCTTACAGTAACTGGACATATAGTATACCTAACTATATGATATTATATATAATCATTATATAATCTTATATACAGTAATCGTCGTAGAATCACCATATAATATCATATAATCTCCATGTAATCACCAAATCATGTAGTCTCCATGTAATCTCCAAACACCCAGGAACTCCGGCGTGGTGCAGACCGGGCGGAGGTGCTGCAGTCTGTCTGGGGAGACAAAACATCCAGAAGTGAATCATAAATCTTATGAGATCCATGGTAACATCATAGAAATGAGTTATGGTAATTTTGGTGAACATCATAACTGGCTGGTGGTTTCAAACGCTTCTTATGTTTCCATAATATATGGAATAATCCTTCCCATTGACTTTCATATGTTTCAACATAGTTACAACGGTGGTTTGGAACATTTGGATTATTTTTCCAGGGTATATGGGAATGTCATCAACCCAACTGACGAACTCAAATTTTTCAGAGGGGTACTGTAGGTCAACCACCAACCAGATCCTTTGACAATATTGTTGGATGAATCACTGGACTTCTTGGGGTGCCATCATGTTTTTGACAAACGAACCTCAAATAGAGTTAGAATGGATCCCTTAAATGCATGTGATTCGAAGGATCTCAAAGGACCATTGGTTGGTAATATATGGTTAATATATGGTTATTATATGGTTATTATATGGTTATTATATGGTTAATAATTCAAAGGAATGATGGTTATTATGTTGTTTCATGTTCATTCCTTGAAATGGGATGATGATCCTCTGAACCGAGGTGTTTTTTGATGCAGGGTGGGAACAACCAGCCAGGTGAGATGGATTTTACGTGGCGTAGTTCCGTAGGATCGACAAAAGTTTCCTCAATTGGTGATTTGGCTTAACCAGCAACCATGTATAAATCATAGCCACATATGATGAGTGAGTTAAGTCAACTTGGGCCTATTTCTGAGCTTGGAACCATTGGGGTTCAGCCAGATATTCGGCTATTTTCATGAGAACCCAGCCACCAAGTAGTGGGGAGGAACATCTTTGGGGGGGGCCTCAGATTTTCATTGCATTCTTATGATGTTTTTTCCCAACAATATGGTGTAGCCAATGGGCTACTTCAAAAACAATGCATGATAAATTCATGGTATTTTTTTGGATATGGGCCATAGGTGGAGCTATTGATCCTTGTAGTGGTTAGTGGGTAAGCCACTACTATTGGGGATGGCTTGTTCTTGTGGATCCCCCATCATGGGCTATTTCCCTCAGAATTTTATATATATAGGCGCCTATATTTTGGAGACTCTATTGTGTAATTGGCTGGTATCATGATTGGGTACGGTATATTTTTTGGGGGATTGCCGTTTCTGTTGACTAAATCCATCGGTTGATATCCCAAAATTTCTGGCTGACATAATGCCAACAAGACTAAACAGTTTTCACTCATTCGTTTCATTCATTGGTTGAATACCTAAATTTTGACCGTTCAGTCTCCAATTGCGCTTAGATCCTCATTGTTGTTCATCAACATCTCTAAATTTTGTCGGCCAGAAACCATCAAAAACAACAAAAAAAAAGGGTTATTCTTGTTGCTTCCACAGTTCTACACGCCCCAATTTTCATAATTTTCATGGGTCTCATCATCCACCGCGCCAAGATCCACAGCTTGGCCTTTAGTCCCACAGGTCCGATGGGATGAGGAAAGCTGGTGGTCTTTTCAATCTATCTGGGTAAATTATAACGACCTCACTGTTCTCCCTCACTGGAATCATGGTTAATTAAGGAAATGATCCCCAAGATAGCTTTAATTCAGGTTAGTGAAATATTATAATTTACCCAGAATTATATCTAGGAAACTGGAATCATGGTTTGGATTGCGGGGAATCATCCCCATTCATGGCCTTAAGATTCAGGTTGGTGAATTATGATAATTTACCCAGATCTATTCGTGAAACATGAGCAAATTATTGGATTTATGCATGAAACATTGGGGGTTTAATCATGACACATCGGGATTTCACCCAAGACTTGGGGCTTAACCAATATAAACTGTGGGTGCAGTTCCAGTTCATCCTCTCCACCTAATACTCAATCGCGGCCCCCCTAATAATAAACACCTGAGTAGTTGTAGGATGTGATTAGGTTTTATTTCGTATTGGGGGGAGAAGCTGTCCCCCTAATCTTAAATTCAAAACCACAATTCAAAATGTGTTTTTCCATTTCAAGGACGGACCCTAGTAAAAAAACACCCCGGGGCTGACCAGTTTTGATTATTACGGGGTGAAACCCTCAAATTGGACCTTGGCCTTAAATTGGTTTAGGGGATCATTTAAAGATCTTGAACTGACCAACTTCCAATTTATCATTTGTTTTAATGGGACCCTATAGTTCCTAGCTGGTTGGTGGTTTGGAACATGTTTTTTTTCCATAATACATGGGATAATCCTTCCCATTGACTCTGACTTTCATATTTTTCAGAGGGATAGGTCAACCACCAACCAGATTATTATTAACCATCATTAACCAGCATTAACCATCATCATAACCATATATTAACCATATAATAACGATATATTACCAACCAATGGTAGGTTGAAACCACCAACCAGATGATGATTAACCATCATTATATAAGCATATAATAACCATATAATAACCATAATAACCATGCAATAACCATATGATAACCTAAGCATATATTGACCCTATAGTTCCTAGTATTTGGGGTAAGTTTTTCGTACGGGGGGGAGGTTATGACAAAAATCCTCTGCCTGGGAGGTGAGTACCTGGTGGCATCCTCCGATAAAGGCACCGTGCACGTCTTCGCCATTCGTAGTGGGGACACCGGGCCCGCAGGGCGGTGGCTTGACCGGTAAAGGGAAGACACAAAGAGAGATGCTCAATGTATCTAAATGCTAGATGTTTATAGATGTTTATAATTGTTTATAAATGTTTATAAATGTTTATTTATAGATGTTCAGGGTTTCAGCAGTTTTTTGTTTTCATCAAATTTGTGTTTTTTTTGTGATTTTTGTTGAGCCTTTAGGGAAATATCCGTGCAGTGATGACCCATTCGGGGGCTTTCACCATGTGAATAGATGGGTGCCAAAGTCGGTCCATGGACGTCCATGAAAAGTGATGAAACAGGGATATGTTCACATAGGATAATAGCTGGTGGTTCAGCAGTCATTTTTTTATGTCGCTAGCAAGCAAATACACACTGTATAGTGGTTTTAATCATGACGTGATCTATCGCTTGAGCTCCCTTTGGTGTAAGAGAAACAGGTCAAAAACAGGATTTCCATGCCATGTTGACGTCGACTGTATCAACCTGCAGGGTTACATCGAAAATTCTGAATGTTTTCACTACTAGGGCAATCTTGGATGGATAGTTTAATCCTTTAGTCTTTTGGTATCGACGGGATTCTCTAATAACCGGCTAAGAATTTAATTTTTGGCGGGGTATCTAAGATTGGCCAACCGATTTGAGTTGGGGCTGCAGTTCCACTTGGAAAACGGTTGGTATGTTGGATATACAGTATGATAGGGCTAATATTCCCAACGTAGGATGAAATCACTATGGTTGTAGCCATGAAAAAACACCCAAACTGAACCCGCAAGTAGTGTAGATAGCACTATATCCATCTATATCCATCATTAGATCCCCATTGTTCCCACATTGAAACCTCCATTTTTGCGTCATGGAAGACCCCTGCAGCCTGATCCGCATCGATCTAACCCAGGTGGTGGCATGGATGCAACGAATTCGAAGTCGAGCCTCCAACGACTGTTCCCTGGCGATTTGCATCCTGTCCCGGGTGAAAGCTGAATCCTCCATCGTTGCTTCAACAAAGCATGGTTCCTGCCTTCGGCTCACCTATAGTTACATTTAAGAAAATCTTGTTGACTTGTTTTCTTAAACCGTTATGTTTCGTCTTTTAAGAAGGAATAGCTGTTAACAAAAACTATACCACCAGTCTGATATGTTTTGGAGTGCCAATGTGAGGTCTAGCGTGCTCCCAGTGCTGCTGACCTGCTTTTCCTGGTCGGCGCGAAGGGAGTTGATGCCTGCTGCTGTCCCAAATGTGGTTGAATATGGTTTGCCTTGCAGGCAGACAAATAAAAACGAGCGAAAAGCTTGACAACATAGCAGCATCATACTAAGTCCCAATTGGGTTTCCAATGTGAGCGGAACTTCTTATGCACAACACTTTGTGGTTGAATATCTTAAAACCCAGCATCATATCCCAACAAGCATGCAGATTTAAGATGTATTTAATGTGTTCTAACTAGGGCATGATTGTAAACTACCAGTACTATGGGACAATTCACAACACTTGGAGGTGAGGATTTTTTGCAAAGACATTGCAAGTTAGCAACTCCAGTATGGGCGATTTGTGCTTCTATTTCAGACAGCAGAGGTCGTCAATGGGGATGTCAAAACAAGAAATGGATCCCTGGATAGATCAAAGAAGTTGACAAATGTCTCAATATTATTCAATATTGAGAGATCTATTGCTGGTTGGTGGTTTGGAATATTTGGATTATTTTTCCATAGATTGGTAATGTCATCATCCCAACTGACGAGCTCATATTGTTCAGGGGGCTTGGTATGTCACCAACCAGATTATTATTAACCATCATTGACCATCATCAGAACCATATAATAACCATATAATAACCATAGATTACACATTATTAACAGTATATAAACCACCAACCGGCATTTTCTTGGGGTAGGTATACCACCAACCAGTTATGCGGATCTGGATCCGAAGTGAATGTGCCACAAAATACCGTGACTCATTAACCATATAATAACCATATATGAACCATAAATTACCAACCAATGGTAGGTTGAAAATGATGATGGTATATCCTTCGATATCAGGACCTATTTCTTGCTGGGTCTCCAAGCTTGGACACGACCTTTTCGGGCGCCACAAGATATCACCTTGATGGTGTAATGTAATCTAGTGAAGTGTCATGATTTATTTGATATCCTGTTGGCTTTGTTGATATGTTGGGTCAATGTATACAGATATGATTTTTGACTATATATATATATATATCACATATATATATATATAACTACATAATATCTAATACTATACAATTGTATATGTATATATACATGTTATACATTATAATACATATATTATACAATATAATATTATATTATATTATAAGATAATACTATGTTTTATTACCTATTTAATATTCTATATATAATAAATTATTTATACATCATAATATACAAAGTATTATTTTATCTTATATTATAGTAGGATATTATATTATATATATATATATATTGTTTTACTATATTGTACTATATTATAGTATATTATATTATAGTATTTTAAACTATACATTATATTGTATATTTATCATTATGTTATATTATATTATATTATACTCTCTATGTTATATATATTATATATTTTGTTAATGGTATTTATTTTGTAATCATACATAATATGATTATACAGATAGCTGTGTTGATAAGCATATTTATATCGTTAAAACCATAGTCATACTCTTATGTGTACTATGTGTACTACATGTACATTACATACACACCTGAATGTATATATAATATATATATATATATATTATAAGTGTGTTTAGGTATAAATCATTCAACAATCATACACAATATACAGACAAGTACTAAAATGTACTTACAGATGAATATATATATATATACACATATTGATAAATCATAACGACCTGGGTTGATGGTCAGTATAGACCTGCGTTGCTAGGGTTTGCCAGGACTACTTTTCCTCTGAGTGGAGCTTCGCGCAGTGTCTTGGTTGCGACGGAGGGAAGATATTTTCTAGTCCCCGAAAGAATCGAATGGACGAATCATGGTATTCAAGTTTCATTGTTTGGTATATGTATGGATACATGTATGTATATATATATATATATATTCCTTTGGATGAACATACCTTCTCAGGAAGTATTGGGGTATGATTCAGGGGGCTGTATCAGTACCTTCTCAACCCTTCGCAGGGAGTGTTCGGATGCGTAGGATGTATGTAAATGTATATATGTGTATTAAATATGTGTATATATAAATATATGGTTGTTGTTTTCAAACATAGCTTTTGTTTTCCATCATATATGGGATGTCATCCTTCCCATTGACGAACTCCATCATTTTTCAAGATGGTTATTGCACCACCAACCAGTATGTCCTATATTGTCATAAATATACCGTCTGGTAAACTAACAGTTTGCTATTGAAACTGACCATTTATTCATAGTGGATTTTCCCATGAAAAGCATGGTAATTTTCCATAGTTATGTTACAATTTGAGGCCCCCCCAGTTATAAGTTGGTTTAGATTCGCCCCAGTGACTATGGTTATAAGTTATATAAGTACCATAAACCATAGTTATTGGAGTTATGTGCACCAAGTTAGCTATCTTGGGGGCCTCACATTGTAGTTTACCAGAGGGTATGTCATATATGTCATAACCATCTTCAACCATCATTAACCATATATTAACCATATATTAACCATATATTAACCATATATTAACCATATATTAACCATATATTAACCATATATTAACCATATATTAACCATATATTAACCATATATTAACCATATATTAACCATATACCATAACCGCATGTCATATATGTCATATTAATGTAGATTCTATTGTGCACAATGTCACCCTTGGATCCACCGCTGAGGGTCCTTTTTTTGTTGGATCCCTCTGGTTATGACTGTTACATAGCCATGGTTAAGCCATGGCCCTAATCGAAATAGATGGTTTACCTAGCTATAAAATGGTGATGTTCCATGGCTATGTTAAATAACCAGATGGTACAACTATTTTAGGGCTATCAAGGACTAAATGGTACCTTGACAGTCTTATATTTTAGCTCTGAACATGAAATGAAACAACAACTAAAACTGAGGCGAAGGCCCATTTGAACTTAAGGTTACATCTATCAGGTCACTGGCCATCTCAGGAACCTAAATTGGAGGTACCTACCATATGTAAGGGCCTGAAAAATGGTACTAACGTACCTCCATTTTAGGGTCCTGAAATTCCCATTGACTATAATTGTCATTATTATGATCATTAATGGGGAAATTATTATTATTTATTTTCATTAATGGTTTATGATCAATTTCCATATTATTAATGGTTTAGAGAAAATCAACCGCCATGGCAATTGACTCTCTTGGCCTCGCCGAGGTTTCGAGTGCATGACATCCGAAGTATCGCTGCTTTCAGCGTGCAGCATCCGCACACAGCATCTTGGCTGCGTCAGAGCTACTTGAAGACTTGGGACTACATCCCGGCCAGCCAATTCTTAATGATGGACATGGGTATATACCATATGTATATATATATATATTATATATATATATATATTTATACACTTATAAGTGGGATATGAATGGGTTACAATGTGGCTATTACCCACTTAGTAACTGGGATGCACATCCAAGTATGCCTCAAACTTGGTTTTTTTTCATCGATTCGTCCTTTTCCCAGAAGTTGATTGACCCACTAGAGAGGTCACCCCTATTCAGCAAGCGATAGCCCTGAATGAGAAAAACATCTATACCAAAATGGTCCCTGTATGTTTTTATCGAAGGGACAAGCCTTAGGTGCCATCGGTCAAAGGTTGAAAGTCCCAGTCCTTGGGGGATGGTTGGCGAAAAATCCATTCTCATAAGGATTCGACAACAAAATGTGTGGGTGATGTTCATTCTTCTCCACCAAAATATAGATACAATAGATGTTCGCAGCAAGCCCTGCCCCTGAAGTATTTCCTGCGACGCCGAGTGATGATGGCAAGTACCAATGGCAGGGAACCATTGACCCTCGCTGGTCGCCAGCCAGAACCTTTCAGGGTGTCATGCGAAGGAGCATTTCGTGGCCGAGGAGCTATTTAGAGCAGCTCGAAGAGCCGTTCTCGCCATAAGGTGACGAGCAATCTGGGTCCTGCTGGGGGTGGAGCGGAGACGATGATCCAACTCTTGATTTTTTTCACAAAAATCAATAAAAAAACATCAGTGAAAACCCATTGTTCAAGGGTACCCTATTTTTACGGGATTTTTTTTCCTCCTCCCCGGGGAATTTTTTCTGCATAATTTAGAGCGAGGGCTGACGAGGTACGAGGTTAATCTTTGCAATTTAAGCGAGGTGAAATAATTAAATTCAGAAAACGAGGTGGGCAGAAATTGCTTTCAAAGCATGTGCCACGAGTGAAAAAAACTTTTCGGGCTCCAGAAAGTTTTTTTGTTCCCATCAGAGTGAAAAAATAGAAAATTAAGGGTGCATTCAGACCCCGTGAAAAAAACTTTCTGGAGCCCGAAAAGTGTTTTTATCGTAATTTCAGTCAGTGCCCTGTGGTGGCATGCCCGGTTGTTCCAGGACTTCCGTATTTGTTCTACAGTGAAACCACTGTTTAAGAACCCACTGCATTAAGAACCTCAGGAGCTGGATTGCTGGATTCAACTCTGTCTACCAGCTAATTGAAATAAGAACCCTAGGGAACCCTGAAATTTTGGTCAATAGTTCTTATTCACCTTTCCCAGGTAGCGCGACTAGATTCTAAAATTGCTAAAGCTTGAGGTGTAGCGGGGTATCTTGGTGCTGCTGCTGCAGCTTCTCTTCTCTGGGGTCGAATTTGGGGGGAATCGAAACCCTTGTAAAAGGGGCATCTCGGAAACCGGAAAAAACTTTTTAGGCCCTGAAAAGTTTTTTCAGCATCCGCAAGCCTCTGGAGCCCAGAGCGTTGCTGCAACGACGACAAAGATAATTCAAAAAAGGAGGCCTATTTTTTTTTGTTTTTTTTCTTTTACGTTTTTGGAATTTTTTTGGGGTTTCTTGTTTTATCTTGCTTTCTCCTTTTTTTTTTTGCTTTTTTGCTTTTTTGTTTTTTTTTTGCTTGTTTGCTTTTTTGCGTTTTTGCTTTTTTTGCTTTTTTTGCTTTTTTGCTTGTTTGCTTTTTTGCTTGTTTGCTTTTGTGCTTTTTTGCTTTTTGCTTTTTTTGATTTTTTGCGTTTTTGCTTTTTTGCTTTTTTGCTTTTTTGCTTTTTGTTTTTTTGCTTTTTGTTATTTTTGCCTTTTTTGCTTTTTTGCTTTTTGCTTGTTTGCTTTTGGCTTTTGGCTTGCTTTCCATGGCTTTTGGTGGTATTTTTAGTATGTCAAAATTGCACATTTTTCAATACACTAGTTTGAATCGACTATATTCATATATATATATTTATGTTTAAATTAAAATCATAATATATATATATGTGTATATATTATATGTATATATATATGTATATATATATATATGCATTTATATACACACTTGTATATTTATATCTAGATATATTTATATTATTTATATTTTCTACTTATATATATATTTATATATATTTACATATTATTACTATTTATGTTCAAATTCAAATATATATATATATACATATATATATATACATATATATATATATATATATATATACATATATATATATTACATATATATATATACATATATATATATATATATATATTTACCTATATATATATTTACATATATATTTATATATATATATTTATATATATATACATATATATATGTAAATATATTTATATATTTATATTTATGCATGTATATATACACTTAAATATATATTATATTGATATATTTAGATTTACATATTCATATTGATATTTTTTATATTTATATTTATATATTTATTTTTATATATTTATATTTACATATAAATATATATTTATGTACCTATATATATATATACATTCATATGTATATACATATAAATCATATAAATGTATATATATATATAAGAAGTATGTATCTATAAGTATATGCACTGTATTCCACATGTTTCCAGGGTGCATGTCGTGTAGTCTATACACCTTGAGTATCACATTCAACCCAGCACCTTGCATGTAAAATAGGTGTTTCCAATCTGCTTTGGCGGGGAGGCGCTGCGCCCTCCCCCCAATCCCCCCCCTCCCGCTTTTTTTAATTATTTAAATTCAAACTTGCACACTTTTCAATACACTTGTTTGATTCGACTATATTAATATTTTGTTAAAAATTATATATATATATATCTAGACATATATATATATATATATATAGACACACGTATACATATATATATATGTATATGTATATATTTGCATTTATATATACACTTATATTTATATATATATATTAATGTACTTATATAAATGTATATATATATACATACATATTAATATGTATATACATATCAATGTATATATATTTATATAATTATATAACTATAAGTATATATATATATTATAAATACACATACATATTTACTTATAGATATACAGACGTATACATATATATATATATGACATATTTGTGGTTGTTTTTATACACAACTTTGATCCCAACATAAACAACAAATAATCATGTAATTATACCTAATTACATGTTGTATCCCTAAACCCTAAACCACACCCTGCATATACATACATACATGCATGCATGCATACATACCTACCTACCTACCTACGTACATACATACATACATACATACATACATACATATATATATATAGATTGATTGATTGAAGAAAACCAAAGAAACCTTGCAGAAAACGATGGAAAATTGAAGAAAACCATGGAACAATTGAAGAACACTATGGAAAAATTGAAGAAAACCATGGAAAACTTGCAGAAAACCATTGGAAAACCATGGAAAAATTGAAGAAAACCCGGGAAAAATTGAAGAAACCAATGGAAAAATTGAAGAACACCATGGAAAACTTGCAGAAAACAATGGAAAATTGAAGAAAACCATGGAAAATTGAAGAAAACCATGGAACAATTGAAGAAAACTATGGAAACATTGAAGAAAACCATGGAAAAATTGAAGAAAACCATGGAAAAATTGAAGAGGCACGAACCCCAAAAAAAAATCCAAAACTGTAAAAAAAAAAATGCCAAAAACAATTCTGCACCCTTCAAAAAAGTTCAACCCAAAAGGAGGCAGAGGACTAGTGCGAATGGCTTGCGGTCGAGAAAGAAATGGGACGAGGGCTGAAATCCGTTTTGAATGTCACGAGGCGAGGACTGAAGATTTAATCAGAGGGGAAAAGTAGATTTAAGACGAGGAAACCGTTTTGAATTTAAAGTAAATTTTGCTGATTTTTTCCCTGGCTCGGGTTGGATTCGTGGCCAATACTTTCCGATTGCTTTTCCAATCATGGGACATGGAAGGGCGGCCAGCTCATAGCTGGTCAGCCGTTGGATTGTGGCAAGAGGTTCTACCACCTGCATTCCCTTTCACACCTCTCCAATGTTCTCGCGCTGTCGCGCATGCGCACGGCGGGACTGGTCTACCGAGTGCTCCCTTTTCCGGCCAGGCTTCCCGCCCCCCCAGATTCCTGAAGAATGGCCAACCACTGCTTGGGAACATCCAGCTTTGTCCGCCAGCCCACGAGCTGACTATCTGGATTCCCTCACACCATTTCCCACGGGTGCGGACTTTGGCATATTCAGTTCTCTGGGGGCGATAAAATGTCCTTCAGTTGCCAAGCCCGTTCATTTGGTGATCCCCCCTCGTATTGGGATTCCAGCACTGTCATGACATGACCCATAGTCAGTCGTCTTCCCACAGCCTATGGGAACGCTGCCTGCGACATCCACACGAGCTGATGGGCATGATTGCCGGCCTTCGATATGCGCAGCCCGGCAATTGGAACCTGTATGTTGGTGACCGAAGCTCCCTTTTCTCTCTTCTCCGCAGCCTTTCCGATGCACACACTCCGCAGGGTGTCCTCCGCTCAGCCAACATCCCGCTAGCCACCCGTGTGCAAACTACTCTCCAACGCCTCAAGAAAAGTTGGGTGTCTCCACCAACAGCGCTTCCGAGCTGGCGCCTCCACCAGATTACGTTCCCTGACCAGTGGAATGTCCAAAAACTTGAAGCAGAGCGACATGTCTGGTACAGTCAGATTGCCTTCTGCGAATTTGGTCTGGTAGGTGTGGATGTACGTAGCCACCAAGTAGGAGCAAAGGTGCCCATGCCCATCATCGTCCAGGGCAATGAAGCACAAGATCGGCTGTGTGGCACTGCTCTGCAGCAGCCCCTTCCCCATCCTGTGCTACTGCCTTCCAGAGGCACATTTGCATTCCTCAGCATCCAACGCACCATGGTCACCTCTCCTGCACGGGCGGCTGTTCGCGCCTTGCTTCGGCAGCAGGCCCTCTCCGAATGGCAACGCCGTCCTGTTCAAGGTAAACTTGCTTCATTGCAACAGCGAGTCTTCACTGCTTCCCTTGATCCGCACTTCCTATACGTCATGTTCAACGCTCCCTGCCTCATCCATTTTGCGTCTGGCGCATGATCCTCACACAGTTGACCTGTCAGCAACTATTTTCCGCTGCGTTCGCCTCATTGGTGGAGGATGGACATGGATGGACTCAGCAGCTCAAAGTTCAGCCTGAGTACGCGCGTGCTGCGCAATTTCTATATGAGCGAAATCTCCTTGACACACCTCGCACATGCCCCCCTGTGTCGACTCTCCCCGGGTACACCCCGACACACCACCATGGATTGTCCAGTGACGAAGCCATTGGCAGATGCTTTGCCCTCCATCCTCGAGCAGCATCTGAAAAAGCTGGATGAGCAGGGCACGATCTCATCTGCTGCTCGTGCGTGGCAGCGTTCTCTCAGTCAGCAAGGCCAGGCTCATCTGTTGCAGGAGCCAGACCCTGTATCCGCCAGGCAGTGGCTCGTGCACATTCCTTCTCGTCACGCTGAGCTTACCTCCGACGTGGCTGGACACAGTGCGTCGGCAGTCTTAGCCGAGGGAGAAAGTGATCTGGCGCATCGCGGCGTCCTCCCGATGGATCTCGGTAATGCCATACTGCGGGCGGGCCGTTCTCTTGCTGAGTATCAGGTCGCACCCTTGGATGATCTGGCCCCTGAGCAATTTGCACACCTCTTGCATCCTGACCAACTGGCAGACGAACTTGCCCAGGCATCTGCGCGGAGAATTCGTTTGAAACCAGTCCTCAACTTCTCAACGCTTCTTTTGCACGGCCTTAGAGCCATTCGCTATCACTACGCCACTCGGATGTCCTTCTTTATCTCTTGTGTTAAGTTACATATGCACCAGCCAGAAGCTGTCCCTCATCCTTTGGTTCCTGCTGCCCGGTCTCCCTCAGACAGGTTCTCAGCCTGGTGCTCCACTCCGGCTGGGCAGGGTGTCCTCCAACAACTGCGTTGGTTGGCACCTACTCAACAAATCCTTGTCGCAGCACAGTGCCTGCCTCCTCTCAAGCCCTTTGGGTATCACTCTCACAATCTCGAGGAGTTCCTATTCGCACGGGTACATCCCTTAGTTGGGGTTTTCACCTGTCATGGGATGATGCCAAATCTCTACACACCCGCTGCACCTGTGACCTGCTCCCTGGTCCTATACCAGCCCTCTGTCTCTGCCCCACCTGCGGAGAAGCGTAAACTCAGTCCGCTTCCACCGAAACTTTTCTTGTGTTTGGTGCGGTCCTCCTGGTCCTTGTGTTTGCACCCACCCCAGACCACACCATCTGCCTCTGCCCAGACTGTGCCCACTCCCGGATGCACCTTGCAGCTTCCTCTCCTATCCGTCGCGAGAGCTCTGGCTCCACGTCTCCTCGCTTGCAAATCGCGCACAGGTAGGTGCAGGTCACATAATGTCGCTCAGCAAACCGGCCTCAGTTGCCGTCGCATCAAACGTTGGCTCCTTCGCTACCTCCAGAGGCACTCGGGGCCCATCCCTGCTTCAACCATTCGCATCGATTGTCTATCTGCTTTTGCCGGTGCTCCTGACCTCAACCCAATCTTCACCACAGTCATCAGCAACATGCGTCGGGAAGGAGCTCTTCTCTGCGCCACTGCGCACGCTTCTCATGAACCCACCTTCTGAACTAGCCCATGACCTGTAGTGCGATTCCCTGTCCTTCACGGGTCATTCTGGTCTGTGCAGAGGTCCCTTATTTGTTTTTTGTTTTCTTTTCCCCTTTCCCCTTTCTCTTCCTCCTTGTCCCTTCTTCTCTTTCGGGCTCCCCTGCTTGCACCTTTTTCGTCTCTTTGTTCACCTTTCGAACAACTTCTTTCTACATCTAATATGACAACCTCAACAACAACTTGCACACTTCGCAATACGTCGCACTCAACAACAACAAACTCTTCACATTTGTCACTAGCCTTGCTTTGTAGAAACATGGTGATCTTGCTTCTCGGTTGCATTTTTATTTTGGCCGACTTGAACCCCAAGCTTCGGCCGGGGGGGAAGTGCGGGCCCGGTAGCGCTTGTCTTGGCGGGCTACCTGTTCCAAATCCAAATCCAAATCCAATCCATAAAATTGAAAAGTGGTAAAATGGTGATTTTATGTACCCATGATATTGGTACTACAATTCTATGATGGCCATATTTGCCAATCGAATGGACTCACCAGTTAACTGCCTGGTCGAATGGACCATCCAATGGGGATGAAGTGTTGGACCCAAAACGTTGGATGGTCAAATACTAAAGGCTACAAATTCTTTGGATCCATAGCTGGAATTCCTATGAGAAAAACCCGGTAGTGAAACATTGCAATGTAAATTCCGTTTTTTGAATAGTCACCCCATCCTCCTCAGATTAAACACCCTCATTGTATGGTCGATATATGTTGGAATCCCCTGCTAGACCATGGTCGATCCTGGGGCTTGTTTTATATTGGGACTGGGATGAAATGGGTGTTTGGAGTAGTAAGATGTTTTTATTCAAAATGCAACTCACAAATTGTAAGCTAGTTTAGCCTGTTGGTTTATGACTAGCTAGTAACAGCCTATAGGTTGGATTCGGATAGATGTAGTGCGTCACTCAACTATAGTTATCGAAGGAAGTTTAGAAGTCAAACTTCCGACAATATGGAGAGATGAAAAGCAGAGCAGGGAAGAGGCAGAGAGAAGAGAAAGATTAGAAGAAAGAAGAGTAGAAGAGAAAGAGTAAGAAGACAGAAGATGCAGATGCGCGAAAAGGTAGGAAAGTCGCGATTCACTGTGTTTTTCCAATGATTTGTGGCTCCGGAGGGCTTTAAAGTAGGCTCGCTAAATCGGCGGGTGCGGAGCCAGCTGGCCAGAGGAGAGATGAAAAATTGCACGCCGTTGTGGCGCGAAGCACATTTCGAAGTCAAAATGTACAAAACACACCAGGTTCGGACCACTTTTGGAAGTTGAGATGTCGAAAAAGTGCACGCCGTTGTGGCGCGAAAAGCACATTTCGAAGTCAAAATGTACAAAGCCCACCATTCTCGGACCACTTTTGGAAGTTAAGATGTCGAAAAAGTGCACGCCGTTGTGGCGCGAAGCACATTTCGAAGTCGAAATGTACAAAACACACCAGGTTCGGACCACTTTTGGAAGTTGAGATGTCGAAAAAGTGCACGCCGTTGTGGCGCGAAGCACATTTCGAAGTCAAAATGTACAAAACACATCAGGTTCGGACCACTTTTGGAAGTTGAGATGTCGAAAAAGTGCACGCCGTTGTGGCGCGAAGCACATTTCGAAGTCAAAATGTACAAAACACACCAGGTTCGGACCACTTTTGGAAGTTGAGATGTCAAAAAAGTGCACGCCGTTGTGGCGCGAAGCACATTTCGAAGTCAAAATGTACAAAACACAC